GCAGGGATAGCTTTAGAAATCTAAAGATACTAACAGTATACTTGCTACATATACAAGAAACAAGCCTATATGTAAAAAAAAAGTGTAACTGCACAGTGAATGAACAAATACATACATATAACACAAGAAATAATAAAGACTTATCCTATATATGGGCACAACTTAGAACTTTATAATCGTAATCCTTCAGTAGCTGGCTGTATCTTTTACAACAAATTGTCTAACAACATAAAAGAAATAGAAAACAAAAATCAGTTCACAAGGGAACTGAAGAAGTTACTTATTCAGAGGTGCTATTACTCAACAGAGGACTATTTGAACGATGAATTCTCGAATATTGGCTACTGATATAAGCAGAAGTATATAGTATATAATGTATAAAATGTTGTATATCTTATATAATTTATAGTTTGAAGATTGTTGTAATTTAATAATATAGATTAGCTGAAAGACTTGCCCTATATCATTGTATCATGATCTACGGGATTAATAAAAGAATGAATGAATGAATGAATGAATGAATGAATGTTCCTCCCTTAATGTCAAAAACCAAGTTTCATACCCATACAGAACCACAGGTAAAATTATAGTTTTGTATATTCTAATTTTTATGTTCTTGGATAGCAGACAAGAAGACAAAAGGTTCTGGACTGAATGGTAGCAAGCATTACCTGAGTTTGATCTCCTCTTAATTTCCTCCTGAATCAGGTTTTGATTTGTTATCGTCACTCCCAAATATCTGAACTGTGCCACATTTTCAGAACATCTGTTTCCCATCTTTATGTCATGATTTTGTCCTCCATTTTGGTGATGAGGCAGCAACATGTACTTAGTTTTCTCTGTATTTACTTCTAGATCAACCTCCTTACTAGCATCGATTAAAATTTGTGTGTTTTTCTTTGTGGTATCTGTATTATCACTCAGTAGCTTCACATCATCAGCACAGACTATCAGTTGATGTGTCCCATTTCATTTCAATCCCACCTGGTTTTCCTGGACCTTCCTAATGGCATATTTTAAGACAAAGTTGAAAAGGCATGGCGATAAAGCATCCCCTTGTTTTAGACCATTCTGGATAGGGAAAATATCAGACAAATATTTACCTATACGAAATTTACCACGTTTTGTTTAAACACATTTTAATCAACTTGACTAGTTTCATGGGTACCCCAAACTGTATCAGAATATTGTACAATACTTCTCTCCTAAATGAATCATATGCTTTCTTGAAGTCTATGAATAGCTGATATACTGTCTCACTCTACTCGCATTTTTTCTCCAGTATCTGACGAATACAAAAGATATGATCAGTACTTGATCTGTGATGTTGAAACCCACAGTGATGATCCCCAATAATTTCATCTATGTATGGACTTAACCCTGAGAGAAGAATATTGGATAAAATTTTGTATGAAATTAATAGAAATGATATCCCACGATAATTACTACAGTCAATTTTATAACCCTTCTTGTGAACTAGTACAATAATAGATTTGTTCCACTGATCACACAATTCTTCCTTATTCCAAATAGAATTAATTACCTTATGGATCTTAGAATGTAATATTTTGCTTCCTGCTTGAATAGGTTCTGCCAGAAATTGATTACTACCTGACGATTTATACCTTTTCAATTTTGAAATAGCGGTTTCAACCTCGGAAGGGCTAGGATCAAGTACTAACCGCCCAGCTGTATGTATTTCTATCTGCCTAACATCACTGACCCTGTGTACGTTCAATAACTGAGAGAAGTATTTCTTCCACCTACTCAAAATGATGTGGGAATCTGCAAGCAGATCACCATTCTCATCCTTAACTAAGTTACTTGTAGGTTGATAACCCCTCTTTAAAGTCATTTATTCCTCTATACAGATCTCTTATGTTCTTGTTCTTACTGTTCATTGCAAGTTCATCAATTTTGTCTTTCATTCCTTAAATGCCTGCTGGTTTCATGTCTTATATTGTTCAGATTACCCCCATTTATTTCACTTGGGTCCTGTACCCACTGTGGTTTGGCTTGTTTTCTTTGATCTAATAATTCTGAGCAACTTTCATCAAATCATGGCTCATGCTTCTTCAGTTCATAATAACCTAGAATCTCTTTGGTAGAAATTTTTATATTCTCTCTAATAGTTTGCCAAGCTTTATTAACATCCATCTCAGTGTCTTGCCAAGCTTTATTAACATCCATCTCAGTCTTAAGTTTTCCAAAGCCTTGAACATATTTGAGATTTCAGCACAATACTACTCTTTACCCCCTACCTCATTTAATTTCTGGATATTGAACCTCTCCATATGGACTGTGCATTGTTTGTTTACTCATTTCCGGACTGCCTAACCTTTGCCACCACCAGTTGGTGGTTAGTATCACAATCTGCTGCCTTGAATAATCAGGACATCAAATATACATGAATTCCGTCTGCTGTCTATCAAAATATGATCAATTTGATTGTTGTCTTCCCATCAGGAGACATCCACATAAATTTATGAATATTATGATGGGGAAACATTGTACTTTTGACAGTAAGATTTTTATGTGGCAAAGTTTACTACTCGCTGTTACTACAGCACACATAAATTCTCTGTCTTCACTAGCTGTTGCTTGGTAGCAACTTCGTTGTATGCTTTACCACTGCAAAGTGTGCCTTGCCCAATGTTGTGAGCATTTGCATTTTCATGATTTTGTACGACTTTCGATCTGCCACATACATATAGGTGTCATCGACAAAGAGGGCTGGGTAGACACCAGGTCTTTGGTGGGGCATCATTTATATACATGTACAAAATAAGGGACAGGACAGAACCTTGAAGCACCCCTGCTTGCATTTACCTTGTCATAAACATTTCACCTCCTACCAAAACACTGAATTTGCAATGTAAAAGAAAGGAACTAATGAGCTTGATCAAACTGGTTGAAAATTCCAATTTAGATAATTTATATAGCAAGCCAGAGTTCCATGTGGTATCAAAGGCTTTCTCGATGTGCAAGAACAGCGCAGCCATAGACATTTTATTGCTGAAATTAAGGGTCACAGAGGCCTGTTAGCCTCATGCATTGCAGTGTCATGCTATGATATGCACAGAAACCAAATTGGCCTGCGTTAAGCAGGCCCCTTTCTTCAATGTACTATTGGACTATTTTCAGAATAACTTTTTCAAATAGTTTGCCTGTTGTGGACAGGAGGCTAATCGGACATAAATTTTGAGGGAATTTTGGGTCCTTACTGGAATTCAGTAACGTGATTTTTGCTTCCTTCCAAGACTTTGGAAAATGGAACAGTCAAAGGCAGTGATTAAATAAATGTGTCAAATGTACCAGTGGCCTTCTGACTTAACCAAATCGTAGTCAAAGTCACATTGCGACTGGTGGTCTGTCAATCAGTAAGTCTTGGTGTTGAGCCCCATCTGGGGCTTATGACCAGATATTTATTACTTTTTGACAGTTATGGTCTTGTTTCTGTGGGGCACCCTCTCTAACAAGAGGACAGGTCTGTCTTTTGTATATGCTGCTGGCCTTTGCCAGCATAGTCTTTCTCGGGTCCAAGTCCATCGGGACTCACAACATTATTTTACTGTCTCAGATTTGAGACTTCCTTTTTCATCGTCTCCTATGACTTGCAGGGTCACGGTATGGGTATTCGACCCCGCCTCCACTTGTCCTTATATAGCCCCATCACGACCCACACTGAAAATGTCTCGTCCATTATTGCATCTTCGTTGTCAGGGAAACATGTCCAGAGGGCTGTACCCTAGCAACGAGTGTTTTACTGTCACCTGTTTACACAACTGTTACTTGGCAGTGGGTCTATGCGTCACAATATTGTAAGATTTTAGTTTCTCACAGCAGTGGTTATTAGAATGTTGTCTTCTGGGATAAAATGCCGTGTTGTCTGTTGAATGTCAGTTGATGTTTTTGAGGAACATATTGCTACCATCTTCAGGGTTGAAGGATAAGTGAAGCAAGAAACCAGTCTGCTTGTGACCTGTTTTCTCACTGGTTTCTTGCTTGGCTTATTTTTAGTACCCTCAGTAAAATGTTGATTGCATGCCTTTAATTTGTCCTTTGCATATAGGATTTGTATTCTACAAGGGAAACATTTTAAAAAGGATTTAAATCAATTATTCTTGGGACCCAGACATTTTAATTTCTTAGATGGGAAACCTTAAGCTCAACCACTGTGTGCATGTTTTTTTTTTTTGCACACTTATGTAGTTCTTTTTTTCATCCCTTTATGTTGAAGCAATTTTCTAATGTGTCTGCAAGGTTTAACTGACATCTGGAACAATGGATCTGCTGGATATTTTTGATATGTCCAAGACATTTGAAAGGGTGATGGTTCCAGGGAGTCAAACCCAAGGTCATGTTGTGACTTCTGATGAACTGTTTTCTAATCCTTCTGATATGAAGAAACCTTTTAAGGGTCGAGATTATGTAAGACAGTATCAAATACAAGAAGAGCAGGAGGTCCTTCAGGTAAGCATTATATGTACAGTGTTCTTATACAGTAAGCTGCCACCTTTTGCTTAGTTCAAAAGGTTTCTATGTAATTTGAAAACAGTTGAAGTCCAACAGTGCTCAGATATGATGAATTATTTGGCATATATGTTTGTTTTGGTGGGTAGTGAAAGCAAAAGCAGTATGTGCAATAAAAATGTATCAAAAGATACCATATTATAGTGTATAATAAAATATAAGCCCTGTATGTCCAGCATTAATGGCAATAGAAGTCGAAGTACCTAAACTGTTTAAATGAACATGATTGGGGAACCTAGGTTCACAGGATTAACATTGAAAACATTATTAAATTGGAATTTGTATTGGAATGAATATAATTTGTATGTTAAAATTTAAGTCTCATTGAAACATTACTATATGTACGAGTACAGTACCTTATTTATTGAAATTACCCAAAGCATTCAGTTTGTAGTTACATCAGTGAGTTTAGGAGCTTGGTGATTGGTTGTACTCAAGATATGTCTGTGATAGCGAAAGTACAAAACATAGTTCATGCAGGATAAATTGTTCACATTTCATTGATGCAAGAATTAGATCTAGTCGTTCCGTGAGAAAGATCGAAAAGAACGTTAAGTTCGTAGGTATCTTTCGTGAACTGTACAAGTTCGGCATTGTAATTATCTTTCATGTTGACATTAAGATCACCCATCAATATGATTGGCATACCCTCACAACCTCTCCTTGCCAAAAACTTAAACATTATGCGCATTTTGGAGAATACCCAGCCAAGTTGGAAAATATCAAGAGATTTCCAGTCATCACTGGGAGTATTTGGAGATACATACACAGTCCCCATCAGCACTTTTTGTCCATTTACAAGACACTGCTGCACGGACATCTCCACACAATTTTAAAGGGTTCTGCCTTACCCCAAGTGTATGACCAGAAAAGATAGCTCCTCGGCATGCTCACCGTATATGTGTTTGTTGTTTTACCTGGAGATATTTCCAAGTATTTGTCTTCATTCCATAAGAACATGTCTTGTTGGGCAAGTAAGCATTAAGTATCACTACAGTGTTTTTTTATTTAATGAGTATCTTTGGGCACATTATCCACATTTAAAAATGTTTGATCTATCTCAGTGTTGTACCGTTTTTACAGGGGGGTCTGTATCAAATGCTACAACCATTGTTTAACTGTTGCCTTTTTAATACATCCTTGCAAATATGTACTCTTGTGAATTAAATTTCTCTTTGAATGGACGTTAAAACTATAATCATCGTCCAATAAAAGGATTTGTGGTTCTCGTGGAGTTCACTGTGAAGAGTACAGTTTTCTAGGTTGCAATGCCATGCAGTTTAGAGGGATCCTGATGTTTTCGAGGGAGGAACATGTCACTTCCATCTTCAGGGTCAACACACAAATGAAGGAAGAAACTAGCAGAAGCAGGCAGCAAGTTGAGCTGAGCTTTCTGTCTGATTGTGCTGGTTTCTTTCTTGGCTTACACTTCTTCCATGAAGATAGAGGCAGTGTGTTCCTCTGAATTATTGTTGGCTTTCAGTGGACAACAAGGCATTGTATCCCAGAAGATGGAACTCTTCAGGTCCAAATAATTCCATAACAGCAATAACAAAACAAGAATTCATCATTAAAAGATTTTACAACAGTGTCAGAATAGCAGCATCAAGATGTCACAGTTGATGTGATAACTATAGGGTGCCTTTCTGCAGCTTGTGAGAAGATTGGAATATGTTGGCAAGATATTGTGGGTAGAGAATTGTCAACTAAATTTTACAGTTATTGACCATTTTATTTAAAAACAATGATTCAGAAACTGGACTCTGCTTCCATCCTCATGTAAAAAGCCTAATTCTTTGGTTTCCATTGTTAGAGCTAGTTCTTTTCTCCAGACACCAGAACCAGTGCAAGGCAGGACATATAAACCAAACACAACATGAACCTTCTACAGGAGTTAAGGCAAAAATTCAAATCAGCACATACACGAGGCCTTTCACCCATGACCATGCATAATGTAATGGCCAAAGTTAATAAAATCATAGTCACGAAAGAAAGAAGAGTCAGTTTCTAAAAAGGACAGTTATAGATACTATGAAGTCAGTGGTAGGGCATGTTTTTTATTGCTAGTGGGGTGGGACTAAGTCCCTTGTACTGTGGCCACATCTGGCCTATTGTACCAGTCCCAGATGACAGGTGAGGGTGATTGTGGAGCAATTGGTGGAATGAAGATTGGCAGGGGAAACCGAAGTACTCGCAGGAAACCTGCCCCAGTGTGACTTTGTCCACCACAAATCTTGTGGTAGGGCATAGTCCCTCTACTTTCAAAATCACAGATAAGACAAAAATTAAAAGTTCAAACAGATACAATTTCCAAAATACCAAAGAGGAGCAAACAGCAGATGAACCAGTACTATTAGGTATTACATAAATTAAGGAGACACAGATATAGTACAGACATAAAAATGGAACATTCCCATACAATCCCCAAAGACCTCAAAATGAAGAAAGGTGACAGAATAGAGTTCATGGCAGTCTTACAACTGTGTACTGGAAAAGCACTAGGCAGGCAGATATATTAGCTTATATGAACATGCAGCTGAGGAGCACTCAGACTGTGATTGCCTTGAATTCCCAGGTAGGCTGTTATCGTAACGTGCACATGGGTTACATAAATAAATATTGCACAATGATGATTAATTACAGCAAATTTGCAGAACTTAGAAATGGATAAAAGAGGTGTTTCTTCATTTAGCAAACAGTCATATCCTTTCCTAATCCAGAGGCATACTTGGGGTAAATGGTCCACTAGCAGCTCAAGGAAGAACTTATTTTTTGACCTCGTTCTGCATGCACAGGGAAGGGCACAATAACAAACTCCCAAGTCCTGTCTGGAGACAAATCACATGAAATAGTGTGCTAAGCAGTGAGGCCTGTGTTAGTGGACTGTACATTCCTAAACTTAAACTCAAGTACAGAGGCATGGGGGAGGAAGGTTAACAGCACATGTGTTTATGAGTAGTTACATAACAGAAAGAAGGAAACTAGTGTTGTGTGCCCAAAGGGGAAAACAAGTTTACACAATGTGTAAGTAAGTAGGTTAAAAATATAAAGAATTCCAGTTGTAGATACATAAACAAGTGTAATATTACCCTCCATTAGGATAACCTTATGGAACTATTACCTAATGTGCAGTTTCTAGTGGTAAAACAGACCTTTCTGGAGAGTGTGTTTTTTACTTCATGGTTCTGTGTTTATTAGAAAAGCTACATTGGTTTATCCAAATGTGATCACAGCATAGCATAAAAGTGGATCTGAAATCAGACAAAGAGGGAATGTAGGTGTTTAAATACCTAGTACTTTAGAGCAGATTGTTTGCTGGCTGATCAAGAGTGGCAGGAAGAAAGGTGGCTAGAGTATTGTGTGGGAGGTAATGCAGGAGTTTAAGGAATGAAAAGGAATTTGGTTTGTTCATGTAACCTCCTCTGCCCATCTACTGTTGTGTGTGCAGTCAGAGATTGGAACACAGTTATCTTTAAATGTCTCGACTAGAAGATCCACCAGATATTTCTACTGAGATTTTACGTACTGTCAATGTCAATGACCATAAATGCAGAACTCAACATTGCTGATTTTCACAACCAGTTTGCCTATTCACTACCATCAGTCATGTGAGGAATACCTGTATGTTGAGATTGGAGGCAGAGAATTTTTGTGAATAAACAGGGAACTGCAGGAATAACTTGAATTCATAATTGACTTATATAATTAACTCCATGGAACAGAGTCATTGAAGTTTTAATTTGTCTGATGAAACATTTTCCTACTATTTATGGAACCTGAAAGTTTGTTGCCATGTTCGCGTTAGCATGCCGATGGACATGTCTTAAACAGATGAATGTAATTCACACCCATACACCCTGTTTCTTCAAGGTCCATATTCACCCGTCTCGATCTCCCAAGTGATCTCTTTCCTTAAGTTAATGTAAATTCTTCATTATCTCAAAGAGAGCTAAAATACCATACACCATCCATGTCTTACATGCATGTTGCAGTCTCTGCAAAGTGAGCAGAATATACAGGAGGCAGCAGAAGGCCCTGATTCAAGCAGCATGTATGATGTGGAAGAACTCACCTCAGTGGGTGCTGGACCAAATGTTAATGACCTGTTGCATGAAGAACTGACACAAGTCTATAACAACTATAGCTTTGTCCACAGTGCACAGAATTCACTGCCTATAATGGATTACAAGGATAAGGTTAGTAAAATGTAGTTAATTATGCAGCACTTTTGACTTTTTTTTTCTGGAAATTTGTGCAGTTGGTAGGCATCATGTCTGTCCATCTAGCCGCATTTTATCTCGTGAGGCACTTCATCTCCTCAGGGATACATTTTTTTTTTAATTTCAAAATACTTTTCATAATTTATTCTGTTTATTTATAACCACTGTAGCAAGGCTTGTGAAATTTGGGATGGTACTACTGGAAACATGGATACAGATTTTAAATGAATATTTGAACACTGTGAAACATTTTTATTAGGTTTCTTTAAGCTTGAAGCAACTCCAGAACTTTATAGTTATTTCCTTAAACTTTCTTGTTACTTATATCCATCATTTTCAGATTGTGTCCATGGTAGAAACAAACCAAGTAACTGTAATCCAGGGTGCCACTGGTTGTGGAAAAAGCACTCAAGTGCCACAGTTTATCTTGGACTCTTGTGTTGGGAATGGTGTTCACTGTAATATCGTCATAACTCAACCACGACGAATTGCAGCCATTACTGTTGCTAAACGAGTAAGTGAAGAGCGCAATTGGCCGCTGGGAACATTGGTAGGTTATCAGGTCGGATTAAACAATAAAACATCAGGTGATACACGCCTTACATTCTGCACAACAGGGGTGCTGCTTCAGAAATTCATCAATAAAAGGAACATGAATGATTATACACATGTTATAGTGGATGAAGTTCATGAAAGGGATGAAGACATGGACTTCACTCTTCTCATAGTCCGGAAGCTGTTGCGAACAAATTCGCGTGGTGTCAAGGTAAGTTTTGTGTGTTGTACTGTTGTGGCAATATTTAATTTAACTCCTCCAATGTCATCAAGTACATACATCATTTAAAGCATTTATTATATTGCTTTTTATAAGGACAGCATTTTGTAGATATGTTAAGAAGTATCCACAGAGTGTTAATTTCTTTTGTGATTGATCTCATGTCCGATCATTCGGGCCAGCAGATGGTGATACTGACCACCACCTGGTGGTGGCAAAGGTTAGGGAAAGGCTGACAGTGAGTAAACAAACAACACAAACAGTTCATATAGAGAGGTTCAGTTTCTAGAAATTAAATGATGTAGAGAGTAAAGAGTAGCATCATATTGAAATCTTAAATAGGTTCGTAGCTTTGGAAAAATTAGACACTGATATGGATGTTAATAAAGCTTGGGAAACTATTAGAGAGAATATCAAAATTTCTGCCAAAGAGAGTATAGGTTATTACAAACCAAAGCAGCATAAGCCATGGTTCAATGAAGGATGCTCAAAATTATTAGACCAAAGAAAACAAGTCAAATTGCAATGGTTACAGGGACCAAGTGAAATAAATGGGGATAATTTGAACAATAAAGTAAGTAAAAAGTAAAGCTATACCTGTAACAGGCCATGAAGGCCCATAGGGTTGTGAGATGTTGAGGGTCCCACATTATCTAGACCAGCCCTGTCCAACACGGCGCCCATGGTATATTTTTCTGGTGCCCTCCGTAACCACATATAATTGAGCCGATTTTAATATTAATTCAAATTGTAAGACAAGACATTTTTGAACGTCTGAGTACTGTTAAATATTTTCGAAAAATATGATTATTATTAGTAGTAGTAGTAGTAGTAGTAGTAGTGTGGTGGCACCCGCACCTCCATAGGCATCAGTGAATTGTGCCCAAGTACATAAGAACATTGGACAGCACTGATCTAGACAATCGGCTCAAAGATGGCGGTAAGGTTGTCAGCCTTACGTGCCTGCCGTTAATACCTGATCCTAGCCCTTCTGATGTTGATGCAATAGGCTTTCCTAAGTGTGGCCTTGGCCTCCCCTCTCATCTTCTTTCACCAAGCAGGTACAACAGATTTCGAACTTTCTGGTACCACCTCTTATGGGCAAGAGGAAGAATAGCACCGTCATTCTTGACCTTGTCAGTAGATGGATGTGAGTGATCAGCATCCTGCTATTTTACCCTCAGGAGAAATAGCCTGCAATACCCATAAAATAGGAGGCTGGGTGGGCCCCAGAGCCAGTCTGGAGGCTGAGGAGAAGAGAAAAATCTCTTGCCCCTACCATGAATCAGATCCCGACTATCCATTCTTTAGCCCATCATTATACTGACTGAGCTACCATGGCTGAAGATAGACTTATAGAAACATATAGTGAGAAAAGTGAGGGGGGAACAGGAAATTTTATGTCACAAGAAGACAGAAGTGTTAAAAACCTTCTTCAGTTATTTCCTCATATAAATATTTTATGGTATTTTCCTATGCAATTTACACAGTAGTACACATGTTAACTGCAGTGTATGAAAATTAATGTATTCATTTCATAAAGTTCTTAAAAAGTAAATATATTTTAACTGGAAATTAATTTTTTATTTCACAGGTGATTCTCATGTCAGCAACATTTAATGTGCAGAGATTTTCAGAATATTTTTCATTCCCTGTCCTTGGGAAGTTGGAACCAGCTCCAATCATAGATCTTGATAAATCTCACGCTCTGAAAACTTCTTTCATGATCAACATATACTACTTATGTCAGATGGGTGTGCTAGGACCGGTAAGTTCACGTTATATCTGTAAACTCCATCACTAACATATGACATAAAATCTGTCAGAGGTACAAAAGGATTTTCATGTGACCCAAGAATCATTGATGCCATCTGATGCACTACTCATTCAATATCCACATGTGGTGATTGTAAGCTGTGATAGTTACCACATTCTGCTCTTGAGAAGTTCCTGCTCTACATGTATCTACATCATATATCATCGTCAAATGCACCAAGTTCATTCCAGTTTTGTGACCAGTATAGATTAGCTGCATTATAAACTGTTGTTACTTAAAATCAAAGAATTTCAGGTTTAATTTCTGATGGGGATAATTTAATTTATGCTCGGTGTAGAAAGTATGATACCAGATTACACAGCATCATATTTTGAAAGACATTGGTCATGAGAACATCAGATCTCACATTATCATCCTTCTTTTCCTTCCAAGCTATCAGGCATAAAAAACAAACAAACTCCATGGTTTCAGTCCACAAGCAAACTATACTGACCAAGCGACCACCGCTTGTCAGCGAAGTTAGTGCCAACTTTAGCAGATAGAGGGTGTCACGTGGTCAGAACAATGAATCCCTCTTGCCTTTAATTTCGGTTTTATAGGCAGGAGCTGCTATTTCCTTGAAATAGCTCCTCAATTATCCTCACAAGGCTGAGTGGACCCTGTTCCAGACCCACTACTTTTCAGAAAATCTGGTAGCGCCAGGAATCAAACCAGGACCTCTGGATCTGTAGCCAGGAACTCTGATCACTCGACCACAGAGGCAGTAGCGATTTGGCATAGTTGACTTGTTACAGGTATTATGAAATAAATCAGAATGTCTGAGATAGGACTCCAGAGATTAGTTTTAAATTTTTATGCATTGCTTTGATATAAAAATGTATTAACAAAAACTAATAGACAATTTCACCTAGCTTTACTGTCATTTAGTGGAATTCAGTGAACACCACTGACAGCCCTACAGATGTCAAAACAAAATTCTGTTTTACCCCACACCCAATGTAGCACATTCACAGGCACCACAGTGATAGCCAGTGTAAACCTTCAGTGCAAATCTGGAAGAGACTCTACCCTTTCACAGTACACATTCTTTGATGTACTCCCAGAAGAAGAAGTCCTTAGGTGTCAAGTCAGGACTCCACTGGGGCCAATCGTTGAGCCCTCGCATTCTGATCCATGGACCGGGAAATTGTCTGTCCACAGCAGTGCATAAAATGTCGCCAAAATTGTGTGGTTCACCATCTTGTTGGTAAATGAGGCCATCAGCTTCAGCTCGCCATGGGAACATGAAGTTCTGCAGCATATCTTGGTAACTTGCAAGGAATCGGAAGGAGAACAGTCCAACGTGATGTTCCACCACACACTAACCTTGGAGTTGTCACGAACATGTCTAACCGCTCACTTCATTGGGCCCTTACATTGGTTACCACTTTGTAACCGTCCTCCTTGCTCCTACGTTGTGCTCCAATTATCACCGTCCTCCCTCTTCTCATGGATGTCGAGAAGTTAGGTGGGATAGGAGGAGAATTGTGGTTGTTGGTGCTGGTAGGCAAGATTTCGCTTCCTGTACACCCTTAGGTGTCTCGCAAGTAGGGAAAGACGGGAGTATCTGGGTTCTGCTCTGTAACTGATAGAGGTGAGTTCTTATCCCATGGTCTTATACGGGCCTGGCTGTGAGTTATCAGCTTCATGTCCCTGGTATTTTACCCCCAGGGGAAATAGCCTGCAATACCCATAAAATAGGAGGCTGGGTGATCCCCAGAGCTGGTCTGGATGCTGTGGAGAAGAGAAAAGTCTCTTGCCTGTGTCAGACAACACATTCTCTGAATTTTTTTCCAGAAGGGTGTGTGTCAGTGTAATAATAATGGTGGATAAAGTATTCTGAATTTGAATTTTGACATGGCTTGAAATTTCTAATGGTTTCAGTACTCCAGATTTTGATGGAACTTTCTGCTTTTGTAATTTTCTGTAATTCAAAATATACATCTGTTAATGTGAGTGAGTCAGGAAGTGTACAGTAGTTTGTTATATGTTTAAATTTGTTTTTAAAATAGCTTCCTGAAATTCGAGAAGAAGAACCAGGCATTACAGGACATGGCTATGAATTGGCAGTTAAATTAATCAAAGAATTTGATGGACTTGAGCAACGAAGTGAGAAGACTGAGAAGGGTGCTGTGCTTGTGTTCTTGCCTGGGCTATATGAAATAGAAGAGTTATACAGTCTGTTGCACAGAACTGCTTTGGCAAAGTGAGTACTAAGGTAGTCACAGACTCTTTGTATATTAATCTTCCCTCCCTCTCTCATATCTCACTCACAGTGGTGAAAAAATAAAGTTTTCCCTGTGTTTAACTAATTAAGCACTACACCATGAAGACGTATGGGGGAGTGAATGTATAGAACCACATTTTATTGACCTCACCAATAGTTGGAGGCGAATGGTCAGCTTCACGGCTCAGCTGCTTTACCCCTGGGGAAGAAGCCCCCCAGTACCATTGGATGGGAGGCTGGGAGGGCCCCAGAACCAGTCTGGATGACATGGATAAATAAAAATTCTTGCCCCCACTGGGACTTTAACTCCAACCCCTGTGTCATCCAGCCCATAGCCAGTCACTATACAGACTGCACTATCCCAGCTTTTCTACAAACGTTGATAAAGTTTATAATTGTTTTTGTATTCTATACATTTGTGACCAGGCCGACTGAATATCATCGTTGAGTGGTCAATACCTCCTTTGGATTCAAGACCCTTTTGTGAGATTCGCATTTAACATGAAGCCCACACTAAAGTAAGTCTGACCCATGGGAGGCCGCGCCATAGCTCAAGCGGTTAGTCGCTGGCTTTGCACTGCGGTGGCCCAGGTTCAATCCCTGGTCTGGTCAAGTGAGATTTGTGGTGGACAAAGTGGCGCTGGGGCGGGTTTTCTCCGAGTACTTCGGTTTCCCCTGCCAATCTTCATTCCACCAAATTCTCCATCATCATAATCACCCAGGGCAGGCTACAATAAGCCAATCAGTGGCCGCCATGCCGAGTGGACCCAGTTGGACTCCACCCCCCACTAAGCGAATTAAAAAAAAAAAAGGCTGACCTAGAATCTTAAAATTTCTCTTTCTAATGTGTAAGGCACATAGTAGCATAGTTGGTTGAGATATTATGCTACAACCCAGAAGGTCATAGGTTCAAGTCCCAATGAGGTGGATTTTGGATTTTTTCAGTTGACCTGATCCTTCCAGCCACACTATGGCCCTGGGGTCAACTCAGCCTCCAACAGAAATAAGTACCAGGAATCTTCCTGGGGGGTAAAGGGTGGCCAGTGCGTAAGCCTGACAACCTTACTGCCATCTGTGAGCTAATTGCGTAGAGAGAATATGGGAGCCTCGACATTTCACAACCCCATGGGCTTTCATGGCCTGTTACAGGGATGGCTTTACCTTTTTTATGTGTAATTTTATTTTGCCGAATATATGTTCATCTTCTATTACAAATGTGCCACTGTCATGAAGTAATATATCCTAAACCACAGATACTACAGATTTTCATTATTCACACCTGTGCAAGTGACCAGTTACAGTACAGTATATCTGTAAAGTAATGGCAGGTGATCTGAAGACATGTTTTGTTAGCTTGAGAGAAGCTTCTAGTGTCTCCTACCTGTCATAAATATTTCTCTGGTTATGAACTTTCTTCCTGTTGCTCTCTTTGATTTTATTCTGCACATTCAACAGATTTGAACTTCAGTACATCGTCAAAACAGATTCCACATAGATCACACACACACTTCACTGACATTACTGAATATTATAACACATGATTGCACATTGGGCTAGCACAAAAAGCAAAAAGGATTTTATCAAAAATAAATGGTGCTGCTAGTCTGTGAATCTCAAAAGTACACTACACAATTTGAAGTAAAGTGGGATGACAAAAATTTAATGGTAATTTATTCAGAGAGTTTTAACTACCAGATTTTATTCTATTAAGCATGGGTAAATGATGGTTACATGTATTTTGATAAATGACAAAATTTTGTTTTAGCTAGGGCTTCACAGTTGCAATACATGCAAGGCTGTTTCCTCCTCGTAATATTGACAGTATCTTGTTAGCAATTCTGTCAGTAGTCTCAGCTGATTCTGTTCTATTCTAATACAAGGTGGTTCAAATATGACTGGGACTGATTTGTGTGTAAACAAGCTGCACTGCGCAGCAGCTGTGCGACCTTGAGAGAGTGAAGCCACACCTCCACCCTCCCTCCTGTTCGGGGTAGAACCTGTTCAGTCCTGTCTGTCAGTTGCTAGAGTGATGAGCGAACAGAAGGTACCACGGAGCATGGAACAATGCATTGTAATCAAATTCCTCGGAGAAAACGTCCCATCCGCTGAAATTCACCACAGAATGACTCTCACGGACCCGTATGTTGTGAGTGGTATAAGTGCTTCAGAGAGGGCAGAGAGCACATGGAGAATGAACCACATGATGGTCAGCCACGAACATCCGTCACCGAGCCCAACATTGATCATGCAGACACGCTTGTTCATGAGAATAGGCGCATCACTATCAAGGAACTTGGAGCAATGCTGTCCATCAGTGTTGGTAGTGTAGAAGACATCATGAAATACCACCTGCACTATCGCAAGGTGAATGCAGGGTGGGTACCACGCACTTTGATGGATGTGAACAAAATGGTGCACATGAAAGCTGCCAGTCGTCTCCTACAGCAGTTTGAAGATGAAGGTAATGCATTTTTGAAGTCTATAGTGACCACCGATGAAACATGATGAAACGTGGGTGCAATACTTCATTTCTGAGTCCCAGCAGTCATCATGAGAGTGGCGGCATACCAGTTCTCCCAAACCAAAGAGAGCGCGGAGGAGCCGTTCGGCAGGAAAAGTGATGGCAATATTCTTCTGGGACTGGCAGGGGGTTATCCATGTAGACTTTCTGACAGATGCCAGAACAGTCATGCAGCTTATTACTTAGACCTCCTGGCAACAGACATGAAGGAAAAGATCCAATCCAAGCGGAAGACAGGTGGAAAGCGGGTAGCCTTCTTTCAAGACAATGCACGCCCCCATATGGCCAAAACAACAATGGAAACCCTCTGGAAATTGAAATGGAACCTTCTGACACATCTGCCATACAGTCCCAGTCATATTTGAACCACCTTGTAGTTTGTAATTCTTTCAGTGGAGGGTGCTTGAAGGAAATCCTTCACATCTTTTTGTTCAAATGCAAACTGCCATTATTCCTAGTAGGGTTTGTTTTTTCATTCAGTCATCCATAATAGCTGTCTTGGCAACTCTTTTCAAGATACAAACGGTCCTGTGAATAGATGTTAGGCCCTATCTTAGATAATTGGTCAGTAATTTGATTCCCTTCATTTCCCCTATGTCTTGGTACTCTTATCCTCTGTACCCTGCTGTGATCAGCCAGTTTTCATTAGAGCTTGATGTCAGTCCCAGACTAACTTGATCTGGTGATTGTCAAGTGCTTTAAAAATAATTTGACTACTTGATCTGATATAGTGTTCCTATTTTCAAGGCCCCTATCTGCGTTCTCGCTTGCACATGCCTTAATACCCTGATGTATTGGCAAGGCTAAAGCTAAGCCTCTTCCTTATACCATATCCATACACCCTTGCAGTAGTGTCTTCATTCATCCTGGGCAAAATCTGCTTTTCCACTAACTTATGTCTGGAAATCTTACTGTGAATGGGTTATTAAGTACGTGTCTTGGCATCATTTTATAATCTCCCATCAGTAAGATGAGTTCCTTCTTTACATCCCAAGCCTTGTCAGTATACCCCTACCATATAGATCTGGGCTTCCAATGTTCATTGCAGTTGAGTCTGTAAAGTCCTACTTGAATCTCAGCCTCCATCTTCAAATGACTGGGAAGAAGCCCCAGAGGACCTCAATTGCAGGTATAGATGCTGTCTTCATAGTTCCAGTTACACCTGAATAGGTTAACCTCTGCAGTTTACTGATTTCAGCCTACTAGTTTCATAGTCAAACCTACACTAACAACATTAGGGCTGGATACAAGATTATAGTTGTAACCACCATGATGTATATTCAGTATAACACCTTCAGTTTTATTCCCCATGTTTTCCCAAAATGTCTGTAGAGACCCTACTTTGCAGACTCTGCTTTTTACTTTGTCCAGCTCTGCCTTCCCTGTCAGTCTGTTGTCCAAGCTTAGCTTACACCTGGACAGGTGTATTTTCTCACCAAAGAGAACATCTCTGATACCTTATGAAGAAATTTTCCATTTATTAGGAGTGCAATATCATCTGCATAACCCACACCATTAAAATTATCTTTGAGTAGTCCCCAGAGAAGTTGTTCACTACCAGGCCCCACAGCAGAGGCAACAGAACACTTCCCAGTGGACAGCTTGTAGTTGTGGATCCCTTCAAGGGTTTTCCTGATAATGAGGTTAGTATGTTCCTGCTTTCCAGAATGAGGGTTGCATTTGGAAGGGGTAAATACTGTATGATTAGAGAGTAATTTCAATAATATGCAAGAACGCTTGTTATTTTTATAGTCACCTTAAATGGTGGGTGAGACCTCTCCACTCAACCATCACCACTGATGAGCAGGAGTCAGTCTTCAAGCTACCACCAGCAGGCTCCAGGAAGATCATTTTGTCAACAAATATTGCAGAGAGTTCTATAACACTGCCTGATATAGTATATGGTAATAGTAATGTTAAAACTATTGATATTTTTGAAGTTGGTTATAATGTGCTACAGACTAAGATTTGAGTTATTTGTGAAATGGTTTTAGAAAAATAAGCTAGTAGTTATACCCAAAATTTACATCCCTGAGAGTATAGAATTAGGAAATCACTCGCTCTTGTTTAGTTATTGAAATGGCGGCTATGGACTGGATGATGATTTAATTCTATAATGGTCAAGAGTATATGGATTCCTACCCACCACTGTTTCTCCATGTAGTATGATGCTTAAAATTTCTTCATCTGTTTCTATCAGTGGAAGGAAATGATCATGAATAATCATTTTGATTTGTAAGTCATATGGTAGTAGGGTTACCATATTTTGAAACATAAAAATGAGGACACCGTATGAGGGTTACCATATTTTGAAACTTAAAAATGATGACCCCATACATACAAATTGAGCCGTACCAGCCCCTTTGTAACTTCTAACACATACAGTACACACAATGGTCAATGATACAAAGTCATTTACTTTCAAACAATTAATGTCAAGTCACTTACTTCATTATTTCATATAATAAACTTGGAATGCATAAAAACTTTAACAATACACTTAATTTTGCAGTCAAATTTCAGTCACTACAATACATTTAGGCCTATATTTGTTCAATTGTAATCCAGTCACTATGTTCCAATCTTAACAGACCATGAATATTTTTCTGTTGACGTAATTTCTTTTAAAATGTCAGGATGTTTCAGCAAGTATGAATGAAATGCAACACAATTGAAATGACGAAAGTTGTATTTCACAATAGCTAGTCCTTTCACTGACTCCACAGCAAGACGATACAGCAAATAGGCTGTAGAGACCAGTGGGGTTGTGAGATGTCAAGGCTCCCATGATTTCTAGACAATTTGCTCACAGCTGTCAGGTTGTCAGCCTTACACACTGGCCTCCCTTTACCCCCAGGAAGACTCCTGGTACTCATTTCTGTTAGAGGCTGAGTCGACCCGAGGACCATAGTGCAGCTGGAAGGATTAGGTCAAATGAAAAATCCAGTCACCTCGTTGGGAATTGAATCCATGACCTTCAGCAACCAGCTACACTACCGCTATTCCCCCCCTCTCAATTGTGTTCATAACAAAAAACGTAAAGCTTTCAAATTAAAACTTCAGTTTCATATACATTTTTTGGTATTAAAATAAATTGTGTTGGACTTCTTTTAAGTCTCTAAAATGTGAAATTTCATGAAAGTGTATTTATAACATAAAAGTTACTCGTACATGTGTATAATTTAACTTATGTTACTAAACAGAAATAAATTTGAGGTAACTCTTTCTAGAAAACATTTGGGAATTGCATGAATGTTCGTTTTAGTTGATTTTGCTTGAATAATTTCTGATTTGTATTACTGTATTTGACTTACAGAATTACTGGGGGTTTGGACTTTTTCCATCGTCCAGAAAATCAGGTCCGTGTTAGAAAAGTCTAAGCCTTCCAGATCTAACATGACCACGAAGGAGTTGAAAGCTATAAATATCATTCCCAAAGGAATCTACTTGTAATTGACTTGTTTGGCAAAGCACTGATTTTTTATGCAAATATAGGCTTTTGCCTAAATAATTCTGATTTATATTGCAGTGATTGATTTTTGTTTGACAAAACAATTGATATGCGATCAAAACACAAACTTCACCAGCCTACAAGTTTGCTGGGCTTCGAAAGCAAACTGTACTCAGCGTGCAGGCCGTTCAGGACGTGTTGCTGAAGGTCGGGTTTACAGACTTGTACCACAGTTCTTTTATGATGTAAGTGAATGTCTAGTTCTGTCTATTATTCTTTCTTTAGTATACTTTCTTACTGTGCTTTCAACAGTATAGGTCAGTTTATGTCTTAATGCTAGATGCAAAGGAGATTCGCAATTTCACATTTCACTCATCTTGCCTTCTGCCATTTTTTCATGACTCGCAGCCTTCTTCGTCTTCCTTACAATGTTTGGAGCCTGTAGACATGTTCTGGGATTCCACATATTGTTCTCACCATCTCATTTGTGGTTGTCATAAATCTCAAATCCTTCCTGAATTGTGATCCTTGAGGTCTATAGTTAGAAACACTTTGGTAACCTACAGTCTGGCATCTGGCAAGCATGATTTTCCCATGTCTTATATGCCCTAATGTTGTTAGTCATTTTATTAACCCCAAATAAATTCCTTATATCCTCATTTTGCTGTCTGTACTGCTTCTATAAATAAAGTAAGAACCCTTCATTTCCAGAGAGAGAAATGTTCTTTTATAGTAATTTGACTCTAACGTGTAGTGTAATGTTCACAGCGAGTTTTGGATGATGAGGGTGTACCTGAGATCTTGCGATGCCCACTTGATCGATTGATTCTTCAGGCCAAGCTGTTTGATATGGGGGAACCTAAAGCCTTATTGGCTCTCACTTTGGATCCACCAGATCTCACCAACCTCGAGAATTCAATCCTTTTGTTAAAAGAGGTAAGTTTGCCCTTTTTGATAACAGACAAATTCCATATAAAGGTTTACACTTGGTTAGTCTGTAGTTTATCTGTTAATTTGCTTATTTTGTAAGGAAATGCAAGCTTACGGTTTATCTGTGTGTCTATCCATATTGTGTCTCGTCCCTCCCTTCGCCTCAGTGACCTTAACCAGATGGGAGATATTCATGAATCTTTGTATGAACATTGTGCCATTAGAGACCATCCCATCTTCATACTTTGTAAGTTTCTGCCATTAACCTTTATCGGACGAACGTCATCATATGATGTCGTTAAAAGTTAGGGCAGCTGGCCGAACGTCATCATATGATGTCGCGGATTCCACACGTGTAAGGTTTTTTTTAATATTATATTAAAAATATAAATTGTTTTTCTATTTACATGATTTTTGGTCACCACCTTTATAAGGAGACAGCCTTCCTTCCTGCATGATCTAATGTAATCTAACGACGTCATATGACGTTAAAAGTAAGGCCAAATTCCCGAACGACATCATATGATATCGCGCATTCTATGCGTGTAAAGATTTTTTTAAAATTAAATTTAAGATATAAATTGTTGTTCTATTTACATGATTTTTGGTCACAACCTTTATAAGGTGACAGCTTTCCCTCCTGCGTGATCTAATGTAATCTACCGACATCATATGGCCCAACGACCTCATATGATTTCGCACATTGCACGCGTGTAAAGATTTTTTTTAAATTAAATTTAAAATTAAATTTTTGCTCTACTTACGTTATATATGTTCACCATCTTCATGAGGAAACAGCCTTCCCTCCTGCGTCATCTATGGTAATGTGGCCTTCGTATGGTACTGCCGAAAACATTCCGAAATGCAGAGTCCGACGTCGCAGCTCACGCACTTCGTACGAACGCTAGACCGCTTCCCACGCGAAGAACACACACGACATCTCAGTTGCGATTTAGAGGAAGCAGGCCAGTGATGTCGACGGGCTTCCTCTAATCGTTTTACTAATGATGACACAGCAGGAGGTCGACCAATGGACCTTTGAGGGCGAGGTGAACCCCTTCCAGCTTCTTCCACCATGTTGCACACAAGGGCGAGACGAAAGTCTCGATGTGACAATTTCGCGCCACAGGATGACAACAAGATGAAGCTGTTCAGAATTGTCAGATCCAGGAGATGGAAAAATAGTTTATTTGTCCATTTCCAGGTCCGACGACTGATGCTGTAACTGTTTGTCATTCTGTCCGCTTTGTCGACATAACCCATGTGCGTGTTATAATCCACAACAACTGATGGTTTTATGGCATTTCCATGCTCATTACGGAAAGTACCTTCTGCTGGAGGACAGTGCATGTTTGTCAGTATGTGTACGTCACGTTTGTCCTTCCAAACTAGTGCTGTCAAGTTCCGTCTCACCCTAACACGAATGTCACCTTTCTTCAGTCGAAATTGTCTTCGTCGAAAATCGTCAGGCAAGCCCTTCCGATTAGGTCTGACTGTCCCACAGCACGTTATGTCCTTTGTCATCAGGTCGCCGAAAAAGTCTGGTGACAAAAAGAAATTGTCCATGTACAGTTTGTGACCTACGCCCTCAATACACCTGCATAGGTCCCTAACTGTAGCATGTGTCGCTGTCACGTCTTGGCTGGCACGTTTCCTGTCTTTTCCTAAGTAAACTTTCATGTCATAGGTATACCCAGCGGCGTCACAAATTTTGAAGATTTTGATTCCGAAACGTTTGTGCTTCTTAGGGATGTACTGTCTAAAAACCACCCTTCCCTTGAATTTAACTATTATTTCGTCCATGGCCAAAAGTTCGGAAGAGTTATAATATTTTTGATATGCGTCATTGAGAGTGTCGAAGATGGTCCGAATTTTCCATAGTCGGTCATAACTGTCGGCATTTCTGTCAGTTTCTGTACTGTTGTCTGCAAAATGTAGAAAACGAAGAATGTGAAGAAAACGGTCGCGTTTCATTGTGTTAGAGTAGAAAGGCGTGGCAAATTGTTCAGCAGTCGACCAGTAGTCCTTTAGTGTGTCTCTAATGTCATGTCCCATTTGAATGATTATTCCTAGAAACAGAAACATCTCGGATTCAGTTACGTCAGGCCGCGGAGATGGTCCGTCTTCAAGTCTATCTAGGTACTGGTGATAGTACCTATTCGTCTCTTCCACCAGCAGATGGATAATCCCCGCAAAGTACAGCATGAAAACGCAGAGAGGGGGGGAATCCTTATTCACGTGTGGAGCTGCAGTGATATTTATCCCCACAGCTACACTGGAATAATTATTCACACCTCTCAGCCACACTGGTCTGGCAGTCCCCAAGTTGCCGACGAAGGTGATGACCCTTCGTCCGCGGAATCAGAATTCCAACTTTCTTCGCCACTGTCCAAATCGGTTGAACAGCTGTTTTTCAATTTCAGTATCTTCCATACGACGTCGTTGTGTGGCCATGGTGAATTATACGGCTCTCTAGCAGTGAATGGTTTACTGCCAGCACAGTGCTTAGACCACGACCAGAAGCCATAAATCGCACCCACACATACAAAAATCTCATTCACGTCTTAGCTGAATATCTGCTTCAAAAATGGTTCATGATGTCATGGGTGGCTGACCTCATATTGCGATGTTTCAAAATCGTTACAAACACAATGGTTTGACTGCAATGAATGAACAAATGACTGATCTGGCAACACCATATTCTGAGAACGTTCTCCTGTGTATTTCTAACAGAGAGAGATTTCAGACGCCCACACTTATACCGACATGTCCCATACGATAAATAAGCTTCAACAAGAGATAGGCATTGTATGTGAGGCCGCCACAAGAACTTACACTGCTAAAACGCACGGTGCAGAAAATGTATTACACTGCTAGAACGCATGGTGCAGAAAATGTATGAATTTCGGGATTTTTTTTTTGGAATGAGTGTAACATTTTTTTACAGATATTAAAATCTGTAAATTAGAATATCTGATTCTATATTCTTTCTACATTAAAGGAGCGTTCATTTCGTTCGTTTATCATAAAAAATGTAGAAATCACACCATTTTCAGAAACATGCTTACAATTTCATCGCTCTAGAAGGGCGGGCATTTAAATAAACTCCATCCAGGTGCCCCTACCAGAAATTAAATGGCCCGTCCGATAAAGGTTAATGATACTAAAAAGGCCTTACGCAAAGAGATCACCACATTTTGTGTGATAAGGGATATACCATGTTTTAAGAGTATTTTTGTCAAGATGTTTGTTTAGTATTTGGTTTGATTTGATAACCATATGAAACAGGTCACTTAGCTTCTCAAAGGGGTCTGTCTTTGTCATGGGATGGGCTTCGGCTGTGACACCCTTCCATCATACTGCCACAGGAGTCCACAAGAATAATTCATCTAAGTAGTTACTATAGGATTCTGACAATGGTGTATAACACACTAATATATTGGGTTTTTGGACTTTATCCATCGTCCTGGTTTTTAAGATAACAAATAAAAACACGACGTTTCGGAAACTGGATCTGTTTCCGTCCTCAGGTGAAGGAAAAGGGAAACACCTATTCTGTTGGGTCCGTTAGAAAGCGCTATCCTCAATCACTGGACGTGTTTTNAATAATTCATCTGTACAGCATTGAGAGATGAATGGGATGAAAAATGGCTTATCCCATTTCTTGGTTTGCCCGCAGGTGGACTAAATGTTTGTCATGTGTCATACCACATAAGTCTGTTGCATTCCTCTGTTAATACTAATTTCACAGTTTTTTGATGCTAAGCTTAGAAACTTGCTTCTAGAGGATGATGCATGTTTATGAGTAAATTTATGTTCAATTTGCCTCAGCACACCTAGGTCATTACATAATCCTGTTCCTTGTCTGAATGTCGCCCAGTTTCAGTTTCAGGGGAACAGTCTTCGTCAATTGTGTCCCTGTACTGTTGATAATATTTATGAGTTTTCCACCAACGTATGGCCCATTTAAAAAAACTAGACAAATTGTTCAGTTGTGTTAAAGATCTGTTTATGAAAGGAGCCTCAATGTATCTTATGCCACTGGGTCCATCAAAGGTGTGGATCATAGGCAGAGAAGGTCACAATTGTGTATGACCTGTCCACTGTTGCATCTGACCTTACCTTCTTATTCTTCCTCCTTTTCTTTTTCACTGTCATCAGATACTGCAGTCTTTCCTCATCTCACAGATGCACATCAGATTCATTATCCAGAATAAGTTCTTACATGATTTCCAGAGCTTGAATTTTATCTTTTCAAATTGGAAGCCAGAAGACAGTACAATATTTTGTACAATTTTATAGTCTCAAATGAACTGTGATCCAGTTATGAACCCACATTTCTGATACAAAACGAAGTGATCCATTCATAAGCTGTGTGGTAGGCCTCATGAAAAGCACAGTGAATTCATCAGCTGCTAAATATTCAGTTGGACTAAAATATTTGATACACTTACCATTGACCTGTTCAGGAAAATACATATATCTCATTTATTCCATGGCCCATCATAATTTTTATGTCCTATCGGGCTTGTTCTACCTTAAAATAGGCTACAACTGCTATCTTCCATATTCTGCCCAGTTCATTAATCATTAGTCATCCTATCATGTGACTCTGTAGGAGCCAGGTTAGTACAGTCGGTATCACGACTGGCTGTGGGTTGGATGACCAAGGGGTCAGAGTTTGAGTCCCGGTAAGGTCAAGAAGTTTCTCTTCTCCACATCATCCAGACCAGCTCTGGGGTTCACCCAGCCCCCTATCCAATGGGTACCAGGGGCTCTTTCTCTTGGAGTAAAGTGGCAGGGATATGAAGCTGACACCTCACCTCCAGCTAGTGCTGAAGTCAAGAAAATGTAGATATATACATCCACTCCCCCATACGCCTTCATGGCGTAGTGCTTAAATAATTAAGCACAGGTGACAACTTTACCTTTCTATCATGGGACTCTGTATAGTCTGAGCGGATGTCAGCATTGCTGAACAAACCATAGATAAATATATAAAATATGATTGAACTGAAGCAACAGACTGCATTCACCCATATCAAGTGCACTGCTATTCTTCATACTGGAGTGTTTACCATATTCTCTTCTGCAGACCGGAGGATTGCTATCAGAGAGCCATGGTATACCAAATATCTATGATGGCGACATTACATTCATGGGTCACATAATGGCAAAACTCCCTGTGGATATCCGGATTGCTAAGCTGATTCTTCTGGGTCATATTTTCAGTGTTTTGGAAGAATGTATCATAATGGGTAAGTGACTTGGACAAATAGTAATTATTTATAATATTTTAGAAACAATTTGGAAAGAAAATTATATTGTGTTCCTGAATATAAATTATATTTCATGTTGAAAGAATAGTAGTGGGGAGTACCGGCCTCATAAGAAACCAGGGTTTTTATCTGGCTCCAGCTGATAGCACCCTGTAAGGTCCCCTGTCTAGAGTCATAGATCTTGTTGCCTTGGAAGAGTGGTGTGAGGACAGAAATGCATTCAAAATTCTGGTCAGAAAACCTGAAGGGAAGAAACTACAAGACTGCAAGACTAGGCATAGATGGGAAGATAATATTAAATTGGGTCCAAATGAAATAGGATGGAAGGGCATGGACTAGATTTATCTGATTGTATAGGGACCAATTGTGGGCTTTTGTGGACCTTGTAATGTACTTATTTTATTTTTCATATAGTTAGAATCTGCATTCTTATTCGCTAAGGTTTTTGTTAGCTCATAACTTGCTTATCAAAGCCTCAGCTGTTTGACAGGGTATGCCACAAAAATATGAAGATGACATCTGAGTAGGAACAGTTATGTAACCTGCTTCACTTCCCCTTGTATTATAGAATCATGAAGTATCAACCCAGAAGAAGACACTGCTGACATGATGGGAACATTCTTGTTTTTTTATTCCCACAGTAGGGCAACTGTGTGTTATAAGGGGAAAGATAGTTATGGTTGTTAAATTACTGACATTTAGGCAGCTTTATTTGTTATATAGGTGCAGCAATGTCACTGAAGAGTGTATTCAGCTCCCCTTTCCAAGAAAGATTAGCAGCATACAATTCAAAACTCACCTGGGCTGATGGTTCCTGCAGTGACTGTATTAGTTTCCTTAATGCCTACAAGGTATGTATTGTATTATATTATATATAATCTGAACGGTCCAGTGAAAAATTTTCATGAAGTAGCACAAGTAGCCATTATATTTAACCCAAAACTGGAATCAGTTGAACCCTTTAGTTCTTTATAAAAAATTTTAAAAAGAATTGGAGAAGAAGATGGTTACAGTTAGACGCAGGAACAGAATTTGAAAGCTTGCCAACAGCCAAAAAATGGGTCACTTTACAAAGAATTTTTCAGAGTACTGCAGACATCTGGCGTAAGGGCTCATACACAGGACACAATTGCTTGATGCATGTCAGAAGACATAAGTAATCCAAAGGTGCTAATTTACTCCAACACTGCTAGTTAACTCTCCTTAATAATGAATAATATGATATATAATTGGAAAAAACGGTTATATTTATTGTAAACAGAAATTAAGGACATGATGGTTACTCACTACATATTGAAACACCATATGTATATTTTTCTGAAAGAACTAAATTGCAAAGAGTAAATTGAATGTTGTGCTTCACATAGTACAATAGGAGAAATGCAGGCTGTAACATCATAGTGCAATATTTTAATATTTTCTTTACATGAGGAGGTGATGAAATGAATGTTTGATTTTCTTGCACATCGCAGGGAAGAGCCAATACTAAGACATATACAGCACACTGTCTCTTGTTATATGTGTAAATCCAGTAATTACCATAAAATTAATATTAGCAGTGGCATAATGAACAGCACCCTTTCCCAGAATTCAAATCTGGCATCCCGGTATTGTTCAGGGAACTTGAAATTTGTTACACCTAGACAGATATATGCCAGTGGTTTCAGACATTCACAAAATATATCGTCTGTCTTCTTCTTTTTCATAGGTGTGGTATTCAAATCATGAGAATGGTTACTTTCAACGTTCAGTTGGAGGTGAGAAGTCGTGGGGAAAGCGTTACTTCATTCAACTGAAGGCAATGAAGGAGGTTGATATATTGATCCAAGATCTCACTCTGCGACTGAAGAGACTAGGCATCGCTGCTACCACTGGATATGGCAGAGTCATTTGGACTGATCTGGAGAAACCACTTGTTCTCAAGGTGTGTATGTGTTTGAAAATTTTGCAATAGCAGTCATTTTGATATGTTTGTTTTTGAAAACTGAGAACCAATAGATTCAAAGACTTGTTTTCTTCTGTTAGGTGATGAGAACAGGGAAAGATACTGGGCGCAGTTGGTGGAAGGAAGAAAATATGATTTTCATAGCACCCATTTTGTATTAACTTTCCTGTGAATAACAGTCAGTAAAGAACTGAACTCATGACAATATGCTGTATATATTGAGGCAAGTGTTCTTACACTGCCCTTGATTGTTGACAGATTCAAAGTATGTTACAGAATTTGATCTTTTACTGACTGCTGAGCCATTTGGGAAATACATTTTATCCCAATAACAGCAACAACAAGGGGCACGCGGTAGCATAGTGGTTAAGGTGGTTTCAAATACCAATGAAGTCATTGAATTTTTTTCAGTTTACTTAATCCTTCCAGCCGCACTATGGCCCTGGGGTTCAGTCAGCCTCTAACAGAAATGAGTACCAGGAATTCATTAAATAATTTTCCTGGGGAGTAAAGCGCGGCTGGCGTGTAAGGCTGACAACCTTACCACCATCTTTGAGCCGATTGTCTAGATAACGTGGGACCCTCAGCGTCTCACAACCTTATGGGCCTTCATGGCCTGTTACAGGGATAGCTTTACTTTTTACTATGGAAGAACTTGGCATTGAAGAGTGGAATGAAAAGTATAATTTTCTGAATGTAATGATGTTATTTCTAATGAAGTAGTGAATAGACTTGGATGTTCAAATTTAGAACCTAATGCGGATTCTCACAAGTATCTTACAGTGCTTGTGATCAGTATTTATGTCCTGACCTGTGGCATACATTAAAGTGTCATTTACTTGAATATGGACCAGTTCAAAGTAAATCTGCCAGCTGTTCCACTAGTGAAGACTACTTTGTTCTGGGAAATTATGTCATGCAGTCTGGTATAAGTTTACTGATATTTTCAAGAAACACTGCATCCAGCTTCAGGGTCAAAAATTAAGCTGAGCCACTGCTTGTTTGTTTGCTTGCTTGGCTTACTCTTCAACCCTGGAGATGGAGTAATCTTGCTCCTACAAAACATCAGGAAATTTCTACCAGATTACACAGCATAACAACCCAGAAGATAGCACTTTTCATAGTCACCACTACGAGAATTTCAAATCATGCATATTCTGATGTCTGAGATGGCAGTCATCAATGAGAGGGATATGCAGAGACTTATACAGAGTAATAATTGAATCCCCCCCGGCCAGGCACTTCATGCTGTACCAATGAATTCAATTGGAAATGGAACTAATATTTCCCAAGTACTACTGCTGCGATCCATATTTTTGACAATACCTTAAGGGAACACAATGAAAATTACAGAACTTCATGTGTGTGACTTCATTTTTCTCCTTGTGGTCACAATGAATCTGTAGTCCTCATAGGAAACAAAATCAAAAGAGAAATTATTTTCTAAGTAAAAATGTATAACCCTATATTATTTTTATGCAACACCAGATATACCCAGAAAAGAGCAACACATGTAGTATAATATGAAGGATAACTTATGCCTGTACAATTCAGGAGAGATTTGTCATTTAATAAATAAAATGAGAAAACACGTGATGAACTGTCTGAAGTAAGCGTGAAGAAAATTCAGCCAGATAGGCTTGGAATTTGTGATATTGGAGGCCAAGATTTAAATGGATCAGATGCATTAGGATTGTTCATTTGACCATTATGATTGTATGTTTGTTGATCCAGCGGTGAGGGACCAAAATGTCTTAAGGACTTTACAGTGTAATTTAATACATTTTTATGTGTAATCATATATATCACTTTGATATTTGACAGTGTACATAAGTATTATTTATCCTTAAACAATTCACCTGCACAGTTACAAACTGATGAAGCACAACACACATCCACCCAGCTTGACAGCAAATCCCCGATTGGTGCTGTGCAGAAGTTGGTGCCATAGAGAAAAAGTTACAGCATGTTGACAACACAGAGAGTGGTTCAGTGAGAGTAATACAATCCATACATTATTCCCAGAGCCTATTAAATTGCCTGAAGTGACTCAGGATGGGTTCTAACAACAGGCATTAAAGTTGCTTGTGGCAAACCTCAACATTAGTAAAGAGTATGGCGTTTCTTTACTAGATATCAGCTGCTCAGATAGTGCATTGTACAGAGGAGATAGACAGTGAATTGGTAGTTTATTACCTTATTTAATTTCAAAGTTGATAATTTTCAGTCCAGTGTGACATACAAGTTTACAACACTTCAGTCTTTATTCACCTTACATGTTTTGATTCAAAAGAATCATCCTCAGAGGTGCACCACTATGATCAGGAAACACTGTCACATAAGATGTTTTAACAGCATGCACTTACGCTATGAGTAATGCTCACTACATAAATTTTTTGTTATTATCACGGTTGGTTTTGATGTTTGCCATAAACATTCACAATGACGCTTCCTGATGTGTAAATTTACATATGCTGCTTTTCCTTTTAAGCGTACTTGCTAGGTATTCTGATTTCCCACTGCACGCGATATGATGTTCACTTTTCCATACATTAGCTTCCCTATGTATTTAAAATTGTATTAAAATTTCTTTTGTTTGTAAAAAATTAGTTATTATGTTAAAATATCGTGAGCCAACATTGGGTCATGTCGTTTTCCTCCTGATGGTGGAAGATGTCGTTTATTTCTCTTGATTGTATGTTCTTATTGTTAGTCGTGTAGTTTACGTGCACACTGTGTCGTTTGTACACGCGAGGTGAATAAAGACTGAAGTGTTGTAAACTTGTATGTCACACTGGACTGAAAATTATCCACTTTGTAATTAATAGTGTGACGGACCAGAATGAGACAAATTAAACTTATTTAATTTGTTTGTTTAGTGAGTAAGAACCATACTATTTGAGGTTTAGGCTTCTCACATAATGAATGATTGTAAAAGATTCTGTCTTCAGGAATGTGACAATATGTAGGCTAATAGAAGTTTGCCTACATTTTGAAGAAACTTACTGTTTCCATCTTCACGGTCTTAAGTGTACGTCCAGGAAGAAAACAAGCAAGCTGCAACCAGAGCTCTGCCTGGAGGCAGAACATTCCTCCAAATCATAGTGAATTTGTACTAGACTACACAGCATCACATTCAAGACAATAGTACTCTTCAAGAACCATATTGCTTTTACCTATCGTAATGAAGTGCCTTCTGAAATGTCTCATCCACTAGAAAGTAAATGTAATGCATTACTGTGTTTCCAGGTGGTTATAGCTGGAGCGTTCTACCCCAACTACTTTGTGAGGGGTGCACAAGGTGGACAGATTGATGAGCGTGAAGCAGTTAAGGTTTTGGTTGGCCGAGACCCCTACAACACAGTGTTCTTCAAAAACATGCCAACCAATCAGCCAGGAGAGTTGTATGCTAAGACCATTAAAAATTACCTCAAAGATTGTGCAGATGAAATGAAGGTCTCATTTGATGGAACCAGGTATTGTGAGATTGGTTTTACAGTTACAGTTTTGTATTTGTCATTGTTGCATGCTATTATTTTGATCCTTATGTACACAACATGAATTTCTTCTGATATTTTAGTGTTTTGAAGAAACAGATTTCTTTCTTTTGGTCTCTGTTAGTAACTTTCTTCACTTGATGCCTCTGACAATATTTTCATTCCCCACCCCCCCCTCCCGTGAATTTCTGAGGTGAGAATTAAATGGCACAGTTCAATGTATGGTTTTGTATTTTTATTGTGAGATTAAAAAATGTCAGAATTTTATTAGGATTTAGATTGTGGTCTTCTGGCTTATGATATATCACATGGTCACATAGTCAGGTTGTGATGTCTCTTCCAGTACCTCTATATAAAAAGATAAGTTATGTAGCAAGGACTAAGGTATGTCAGGATGATCTGTGAATGATAAACCAAGATGATTGTGGCCAGTTTCAAGGTACTGTATTGAATTTTACTTCATAAAGAAACAAGAACTTCAGTCAGGATAACTGGAGTTCAAACCAGGTACTTTTGAACATGACAGAAGAAATGTTGCTGGGCCAATCTGCTAGGTTTTCTGATGGGAATTGGATTGAACAGGCTCAAAATTAGATATACTGAGAGGCTTCTGTATTGGTGGTGTTGAGTTTTCTGATGTTCATACCAGAGATTTCAGTTAATAGAGATAACATTACTTTTTTTTTTTTTTTGTAGCAAAGTGTATGTTCAGTTTGGGCGTTCTCATTACCAAGAAGTGGATGAACGCCGATTTCATGCCAGGATTCCAGGAAGAGTGTCAATGGCTGTGTACAAGGCTGTGAAACTCCGCCAATTGAAAATCCCTTGCATCTTACATTTGCTAAAGTGAGTTATCTGCTGGTAACTGAAACTAAACATGTGATCTAAAGCAGTGGTTCTCAACCTTTGTCAGACCGCAGCCTGGTAAATTCTTTTTTCTATAAGATGATGGCATCGGTATAATTGATGCCAGGGCCTGGTACTGGACCGTGGCCCAGCGGTTGAGAAACACTGATCTAAAGTACAGAAATTGATGGTAAAGTTGTGAGAAATGGGCATTTCAGGGTAAATGTACTGTCATATAATAGAATGTTTGTAACCTTTTGCTAATGTATATGTTCCTGTATGCATGTGCACAAGTGTATGTATGTAAACTTAGTTGTACATTTATTTGTACATTTTATCACTCCTGAGGTGTGACACCATGTAGTTTGGGAGATACATTCCTGTCTACCATACTACTGGCATTATATCCCAGGAAATTGTAATCTTGATGCTCAGTGCTGTATGAACCCAAAGCCTCACATGCGGGTCATTTTCATGAAAGACTCATTTTGGGTATACAGTACGTAGTGAAATGACATTACACTGATTTGAGAGAAGAAAAGGATCTTTTGTAAGAAAGAAGATGGATATTTTACTGAAGTGTATGCTATAGTGGAAACATATACATCCAGGTCCAATGATTGAGATTAGCTCTTTCTAGGGGACGCAACAGGTCAGATGTCTCCCTCCCACCCCACCTCCATCACCTGAGGATGAAAACAGATCCAGTTTCCAAAATGTCGTGTATTTTCTAGTTTTTTAGAATACCAGATGATGGACAAAGTCAAAAACCACATTAATTCCAAGTGTACATCGTCGTCAACATGATTTTGAATTGTTGCATCTACAGTAAATACAGTTGTGAAATCAGGATAGAAGTGAAAATATTTTGTTTAATGGAAACAGTTTCCCAAAGAACAGAATGAGCTTAGAATAGCCTGCATTAGAAGAACTCTTGTAGAGGTTCTTATCACTACAGTTCGAACAAAATAGAACTAACAATACTGTTGTCACTCGGACAATTTTTAAAGAAATAGCTCTGAAATGCTGCAAGGTTGCCACATTTTCCAGGGTTCAGGACATGCTTCTTTTCCATGAAAAACTCTACCCAAGATCTGTGTATCATATAGTCTAAAGATAGAGCAGGTTTTGTCCTAAACTTTGCCCCCTAATATCAGGGCAGGTCATGTTTGCAGACTTTTCAAAGGGTTCAGATAGTTGTCCAAAACAAAGATTTGTTGTTGGTGAAACAATACTACTATCAGTTTCAATAACAGTGACATAACTTTTGAGATGTATTTGGCTGAGCTCTTCCTCTTGGACTAAGGAGCTACATTCTGTCCTGTAAAGTTAACACTTTTCTGTCTGATAATTTTCCATTCAAAACTTGATATAAACAAGTTGATTTATATCATAGCAAAACAAATAAATCGATGAAAGAATGTAAGAATACATTTTGAATTGTTTCATTTTTGGTCCGTTACACTATCAATCACAAAGTCAAAAGAAAGTCCGTCGAGTGTAACAATTTGTAGGTCACTTCTTTATCACTTCTGCCTTACATGTTTCGGTTTAATACAACCATCATCAGAGGCACATAGTACAATCATGAAAACACTGTCGTTGTTTAAGATGTACACAGTTATGTTTGCTGCGTGGACGCTGCTACAATATGTCGACGTGTAAAAGCACAACACTTGCTAGGATTGTTGAATGCACTATCAATTCTCACATTCCATCCGAAACTGCCCTCAAGTTAAAACGCCAATGTTAAAATATTTAAAAATTTAAAANAACATAACTGTGTACATCTTAAACAACGACAGTGTTTTCATGATTGTACTATGTGCCTCTGATGATGGTTGTATTAAACCGAAACATGTTAGGCAGAAGTGATAAAGAAGTGACCTACAAATTGTTACACTCGACGGACTTTCTTTTGACTTTGTAAGAATACAGTTTCAATTTGCAGAAATATATGGCAAGTTGAATACAGAATATTGCTATATGGACAGTCGTTATGTTAGAAGTTCATAAATTGCACCTGAAAGGAACGGCTCCTATATTTTCAAGGCAACCAGGTCTTCTTCTTCCTCATAATGTGTCATTGAGTTTAATATAAATTTTTTAATTATGTTTTAAACTCAAGTAATTGAGCATTTTTGTATTGTACAGGGCTGAGCACGCAGCACAAAGAGCTGAGCAGTTAGGCTTGTGCACATATAAAGAGAAGCCTCTTCTGGGGGAAAGACAACAGGAGCTGTCCAGCAGCACTCTTAATCCTAATCTTCCCACTATAGATGTTAGCTACATACAACTACTAATATCACATGTAAGACACTTTTTATAATATAATGGTACAATATATGAAAAGTGCAGCCTTTTGGGTTATGCCACCCACTTCTACTGGTTTCTTCCTTGGCTTACTCTTCAACCATGGTATGTTCCTCTAAAATATTGGGCTTTCTCCAAACTGTATGGCATTACAACTCAGAAGACTGCAGTCTTCATGGTCATCATTGTGGAAACCTTTGTTTCAGTACATGTTCACATCAAAATGTAATGTATGGGTTGAATTCTAATGTCCTCTTAATTATCTATGTGAGTTGGTAAAATGACTGGCTACAGGCAGGATGTCCAGACCAGCTCTGGGGTCCACCCAACCTCCTATAAAATGGGTACTGGTGGTAAAGTGGTGGGGAGTGAAGCTGACCACTCACGTCCAATTAGTGCCAAGGTCAAGAAAATGTGGATCTATACATCCACTCCCCCATACGCCTTCATGGCATAGTGCGTAATTAGTTAAGCACAGAGACAACTTTACATTTCACAGGCAGGATGATTGGGATTTCATTGTTTACTGGAGCAGGGAATATTTTTCTTCACTACCATATTTCTTCAAGTTCTTGTTCCTGCCCGTCCTTCTAGTCAATGGGGTATTGGACACTCATCATTTCCTAGAGGTGTAGGATACCTCCATCCATCTTTTCAATGAGCATTTGAAGCTTGCTCCCCAGAATTACAGCAGCCAGAGCAGGGAGCTGGCCACACACCTCTCACATCTAATTTTGACACCAATTAAATGGCTTGAAACACACCAAACTTACACTTCATGATCTTATTGTCATGGGTGAAGTCAAACAGTCTGTTTGGAAATGTTTTTCTTTTCTTTCTTTATGAACATATATCATTTGCTTTATTTGTCTTTCAAGCAAGCTTGAAGTAAAATTTTCCATTTCTCAGAGATATCTGATGATTTACTCTGACATGTCAGGAATAGCATTAAGGAAATGGTGTAAATTCAATGTTTGGTGTTAAGACTATTTCTTCAGCCTTCTTTCTCAACATTGGACATTGAGAATTGGTGTATGTAATGCTCATTTTTGCATAAGCAGCTGTAGGACCTTTGATTCAATGTTCTTATAGAAGTTTTGTAATACCGCCTCTCCCCACCTTCATAATGTTATTTTACATCAACTCTGGTCTGCTAAGTTGTTCCACAGCCCTTGTATATGTTACATGTCACTGACCGTCCACTTTTTAATGGTCTGTGTTTTATCATAAACTGATGTCTTATGTTTTATGTTTGTTTCTGTAGTGGTGCATGCATCTGTATGTAATTCATAAGTCAGTTTACTTTCACACAGCCTCACAAAGTTCAGCACATGTGTTCACTGTACATAACCTTGCACACAAAGCTCACACAACACACAACCAGCTAAACACATGGAGAAGTTCTGAAAGTTACTGCTGCTAATTCCTCCAAGCTTCTACTCACCAAGTGCCACTGAGTGCTGCTAGGCATTGTGACATGTTTGATTTATGTGTCCACTTTGTTTCTCTTCTATGTCATCATTGTCCCCCCCTCCATGTGTGCGTGATGCATGTTTTTAAAATTGCTCTTCTTAGGTAGGATATCTCTCTATGTTTGGGAAACATTTTGAATGGGATATAAATATGTTATGGTATTAATTCACTGGTTTAACATTTTAGGCAGGAAAGCATTTTAATTTGGATCTCCATAAACTGGACCTGCTGTGCAGATACTTGTGACTGAAGCTTTTGTCCCATTACATTTACATGTACCATTCTCTTAGTCTGTTGTGTTGCAGTTTTCACATTCTCTGATATTTCCTTGTTTAATGCTGTTAGAGTGGCATTAAAGATGTAACCGTTCCTCCCCTCTATGTGTCACCACTCTGTGCTAGTACTGTAATCATAATTGTTAACATTATTATTAGTTCAAGCTACGGCACACATCTGTTTTAAGATATGTCATTTACTATAGTTCACTTGCGGACTGAAATCACGGAGTTTGTTTGTTTGTATGATTTCAATTATTCAAGCTTCTGCCCCCCACCCCCACCCCAAGCCCAAATAATTATGATTATACTTCATCTCAAGCTTGTTACATTTTTTGTTACTAAACAATTTCACAACATTCAGCTTGTTTTATGTGTTTTAGATTGTAGACCCAGGTCATTTTTGGGCTCATAGTGCTGATACCAGTTCATCTCAGCAACAGGTCTGGCTTTTTCAAAAGCTAAATGAGAAATCAGACCTATTGAAACCGCTCACTGAACTACCACAAGTTGGCAAGATCTATGCAGCGCCATACACAGAATATTCACAAACCAACTATTACCGTGCCAGAGTGGAATCTGTCAGTTCCAGGAAAGGCGAAGGCAATGTTATTCAGGTTAGTTATGCAGTTGACTTCATGGCAAAGGAGAAACAGAAGTTACAACCTAGTAAGATGTCTGTACATTTTACAGAATTCACCATTGTTTTCCTATGTAAATATATAGTAAATATATAGCACATATTTCTTTATTATGAGTTCAGATTAAAAATTAATTTAAATATTATACATTTGAATTCCCTTGGTGGAAATGTGATTAATGTAAGGGTAACAGAGGTTTCATTGTGTGTAACATGACAGATATTTAAGAAAATGACCAACTTGTCACAGTTTTTTATATTACCCTCTAGCCCAGATTCCAAAAACTTTTATCTGCTCTGGAGCTCTTTCAAACTTGGAAACACTTGATGGATCCACAGACCATTAAAATGCATGTATTAAAAATTAAATATGGCAAATATATTTATGTTAATCTAAAATCAAAGAGAAGTCTTAACACTTCTTGAAGTATAATACAGCCAATTGGAATTTAATGATTTGGTGTGAAATGTATTGTAACTTAATGCTGTATTTGTTATCCTTTTACATAATTTTATCACTTGATATGTATATGCAAACACACTCTTCAGTACAGCTGTGCATGAGGTTCCTCGTTCAACTTGTTTGGGTTACTAACTAATATTTTAAGAATTATTTTTACCATTACTGTACTTATTTCATGAGGTCTGTAGTAATTTTTGAGAAAAAATAGAGAAATAGCCATTTTTCACTGTGCTTAGCTTTAGTGCGAGGAATGGCACTATTTCCCCACACCCACACCCTTATTAAAAAGTTGGGGAGTTGAGAGTTCATTTTGTATGTAGCATCTTGTCTCTCACAGAATTTAATTTTTGTGGCTACATTCCTTAGACTGCCTGATCAGTGGAAGGAGTCTATTATTGTACCAGTTCACAAGAAAGGTGATAAAACTGAATGTAGTAATTATCGGGGGATATCACTGCTATCAACTTTATATAAAATTTTGTCCAATATTCTTCTTTCAAGGTTAGGTCCATATATAGATGAAATTATTGGGTATCATCAGTGTGGGTTTCGATGTAACAGATCAACTACAGATCAGATCTTTTGCATTCGTCAGATATTGGAGAAAAAATTGGAGTATGATGAGACAGTACATCAGCTATTCATAGACTTCAAGAAAGTCTATGATTCAATTAGGAGGGAAGTATTGTACAATATTCTAATAGAGTTTGGGATACCCATGAAACTAGTTAGGTTGATTAAAATGTGTTTAAACGCAACGTATAGTAAAGTCCATGTAGGTAAACATCTGTCTGATAAATTTCCTATCCAGAATGGTTTAAAACAAGGAGATGCTTTATCACCACTCCTTTTCAACTTTGCCTTAGAATATGCAATTAGGAAGGTCCAGGGAAACCAGGTGGGACTGAAATTAAATGGGACACATCAGCTGTTGGTCTACACCGATGATGTGAATCTACTGGGTGATAGTGTAGATACCATAAAGAAAAACACACAAACTTTAATTGATGCAAGTAAAGAGGTTGGTCTAGAAGTAAACACAGAGAAAACTGAGTATATGTTACTGTCTCGTCACCAAAATGCAGGGCAAAATCATGACATAAAGATAGGAAACAGATGTTTTGAAAATGTGGCACAGTTCAGATATTTGGGAACAGTGATAACAGATCGAAACCTGATTCAGGAAGAAATTAAGAGGCGATTGAACTCGGGTAATGCTTGCTACCATTCAGTCCAGAACCTTCTGTTTTCTCGTCTGTTGTCCAAAAACATAAAAATTAGAATATACAGAACTATAATTTTGCCTGTGGTTCTGTATGGGTGTGAAACTTGGTCTCTGACATTAAGGGAGGAACATACGTAGACTGAGGGTGTTTGAGAACAGGGTGTTGAGAATATTTGGAACGAAGAGGGATGAAGTGACAGGAGGTTGGAGAAAACTGCATAATGAGGAGCTTCATAACTTGTACTCTTCACCAAGTATAATTAGAATGATCAAGTCAAAGGGGATGAGGTGGGCAGGTCATGTAGCATGAATGGGGGAGACGAGGAATGTGTGGAGGATATTGGTGGGTAAGTTGTGTGAAATGGGAGAAGTGTGGTTGTTGGTTTGAATATATCATTTTGTGGTATTTGTCTATACAGGTGTTCTTCATTGATTATGGAAATACAGAAGCAGTAAAGCTTTCTGATTTGCGAGATTTTGATGATGAAACTATTAAAGATGACATCCTTGAAGTTCCAGCCCAGGCATTTGAATGTACCCTATCAGAAATTCAGCCATCTCTCATCCATAATTCACAAGGTCTTTGGACTAATGAAGCCCTGAATGAGTTCAGGAGAGTAGTTCAAGGAAAAGTGTTCTATGGCAAGGTAAGATGATTAGAATAGTCATTATACCTACAGTTCTCTAAACGTTTTATGATGGGCTGAACTTATAGCTGAAATTGGGGGAACAAGAAATGCATTTATAATTTTTTATGAAGAAACCTTTTGACCACTGTCACTTATGTGATTAGATAGGAGAATAATAGTAGTAAAATGATTGTAAAGCTATACAGCAAGACCTTGTACTTACATTCCCACAATGTATTTTTTCCATAATTTACAGCTTTCTTTTCTCTCTCTCTCTATTCCATTCGTTTTCCAACCTTGTCAGTAGTTTACATTCCTGCAAAATATGTCATTTCGCTTGAATTTCCTGAGTTTTATGCTCTTTCTTTTTTGTATATGTATACTGCTAAACTTTTCTGTTCAACCATTGTTACTCTGACCAGTTAATTACCATCTTGCTCATTTTATCTTTCAAATTGTTATTATTTTCAGGTTAACTGACATTATTTAATTTGATAGCTGAATTTGTTGCACTTGTTTTATTTGAATTTGCATATTTAATAAGGCATGACATTAGCACAAAAGGAAAAAAACTCAACCTACTACAGAACCTTGACAGGCACATGGGGACTCATATTTCCTTGTCAAAGCAACTTGTACTTTCATCATGAACTGTGGATACGAAAGTTGAAAACCATCATGCCATTGAAGACAATGCAGATCAGTTCATATCAGACTGATATGAGTAAGAATAAAAACAAAAATGTTTTCATAAATTCAAGTTTGAAGAAGCAGAGAAGATTTTGTGGAAAATTTTCATAGTGTGAGGCAGATTATTTATTTTTTTTTTGCATCATGATACTTTATATTTTTATCTCTGGTGAATAATGCAGTAAAAATGTTTATACATTTTGTTACAATTTACCCGCATTATTTGCAAAGCATTCCAATTTAGTGTTAAGGGCAAGCTAAGCACCAAACATGATTTTTGCATTTCCTGCATTTTACACCTTCCCACAATTACATAATTTTTCATCAACCTTCAGAAAAGTTTAAATAAGGGATTCCACCATAGATACTGAGGATGTGTGCTGGATGGAACTGTGCTAGGGCAGAGAGGTCTATATAGTATAAAACTGTTGTTTCCAAAACAATGAACTTTGCATCAGTTAAATAACGATGAACTGCTTTGGGAATACAGTGTGCATAGAGTTTGTTAGATTTTTGGGAAATTAATACTTACTGTGAAACCAATTTAAGGAATGCCACTTTTTACATTTAGATTTTCTCTCCTTAAGATTCTGTCTTGTGTAATTAAAATGTTTTTTTAGTACAAGCATAACTTCTAATCAGTTTGTTTTCCATGAAGTTAGTTAATAAGGTATACGTGTAATTTATCGTTATTGTTATTTTATTTATTCATTATAAACAAATATCACTAGGGAGCATTTATTTCATATACATACACTCAATATGTCATGTTAGGTATTCTTATGAAGAAGATTTACTATTGATTCTTACACTATCTTATAGTATTTATTTTTCTTTGATAATTTAAAATGCACTATGCTACAAGCCAGAAGGTCACGAGTTCAAATCCCAATGAGGTCACTGGATTTTTCAATTGACCTAATCCTTCCAGCTGCGCTGTGGCCCTGAGGTCAACATAGCCTCAGTATCAGGAATCTTCCTGCGAGTAAAGTGTGGCTGGTGCATAAGACTGAAAGCCTCACCACCATCTGTGAGCCCTATGGGCCTCTGCAGCCTGTTGCAGGGTTAGCTTTACATTTTTTCCCTCTTCTTCTCGTTCAGGTATACTCTGTGGTGCATGGAGTAGTATCTCTGGAGCTGATCAGACAAAGCCTTTCATCTAGTCAGCAAGTGAATATCAACCACTGGCTAATTGAGAAAGGTTATGCTCAGCGAGCAGATGAAAGCTACCTCTCTAAAGTAAGTGTTCAAGAGTAATAATTAAAGTGACTTAATTGGCTTTGTAATACAGTGGAATGCTTTTAAAGGAATTCAGCAAATAAAAAAGGATCAATTCAAACAGCAGTTGCTACAGTGAAAACTACTGAGAATGTGAATGATATTTTGAAAAGTACATTGCCTCATAAATTAATAAGTGTACATCATATAATCTGCATTAAACTGAAGAAACATTTTACCCATTTTAGGCTTATTTGCCACCCTGTGGAGCACCTGTTAAAATTACTTTGTCTGCTCACACAAAATAACTTGAGAACCACTCAGTTGATTTTTATGAAATTTTATTTTGGTAAGTTTCAGTAAAACTTGATAACATATTCCACAATTGGTGAAAATCAGACAAAGATAACAGACATTTTACATGAAGACTGTTTGCATTTCTCTTCATAACAAGCATAACTCCTTAAGTATTATTTATTGAGGTAAAAAATGTTTTGAATAAAATTTATAGAGAAAAGTGAGAAGCACATTCTGTTCCCAGTACTTTATTTCTGTTACAAATTTGGCATACTTAAACAGGAATTTTTTTTAGGTAATGCATGAATTTCCTAACATATTGTCTTATGTATGGGTGACTGTAAATGGGATTTGGATTGGAGGTTGGATTTATTGACCACTTATGCACTCAACTCATAACAACATGTAATTATAGCACAATCACTAATCTCCACACTTTACATTTCACTGTTATACACAGTCTAGTGTTAGTCTGTTACAATCTCCACTAGTCAATTCCTGGTAATGACATCTAGCAGTGGAGATTCTTCACCTTCCACACTCATGCCATTGCCCACTGACTAATACTCCACAACTGAGCTCAGCTGCACTGAGTAAGTCTTCTGTGCCCAGACTAAGGACCAGGCTGGCTGCCATCTTACACCAACCTCCTAGTCTTTGCTTGACAGACTCCCTTACAACTGATTAACTAAATTCTAAACTTGTCTTGTTTATAACATCTCAGCATGGATTACATAGAAAGCACAGTTTCCAGCAGTTCCTCTGTTGTGAATTTGCCGCCATGGGAATATTTGTTTCGTGGTCATTACCTAGTAACGGGTCTACACACCAGAATATATTCAAGAGTCAACAGTGGTCCTCAAATACCTGCAAAGATTACCAAACAATCAGCAGTCATTTCTTGAACATATGTTACCAATCTGTTATTCTGAGTAATGATTAAATTGAAGCTTCCTCTCACCTGAATATATAGGTCTGCATGTCATTGAATAGATATTTAAGTAAAATATAATGTTCTGTGAGTGCATGGGTACTGGCTGGAGCTTGTCTGAATAAGTGATTAAAATACTTGAGCATGGTTATTAGCATGTCATTATAATTTATACTGAAAGTGCCTGTTAAATACTGTATAAGATTACAATTTTGTTCGTGGAACTGAGTTACCTTTCATTTGAAACCTAACCTATAAATGTTGTGAAATTCACAACATAGTGTCACTGTTTTGCTCATCATGTTGCACATCATTCCAAATCTGTTGTTTCTGTATACCCAATACTGGTTATTATATTTTGGCATGTAGACCCATTGCTAGCCAACAACCTTGAAACAAACAGCCAGACCACAGCCATTACTAGGCAACTGCCTGTAAACAGCAACAGAATAATGGTGTTTTCTGTGTGGTCCATGCCAATATGTTATAAGCAGGTCAGTTAGCTAATGAGTTGAGCTGAGTTGAGTTAGTTAGTTGGTTGGATGGTGAGTGATTGAGTGAGTTAAAGAGCTGCTGATGCTTAGTCATTGTGAGCTGTTGCTGTGAGAAACTAATAGGTGAGTTTGGGGATAATTCGGGAACCCAGAGAAATGTGTCGCTGGGGTGGGTTTTCTCCGAGTACTTCGGTTTCCCCTGCCAATCTTCATTCCACCAAGTTCTCCATCATCATAATCACCCGGGGCAGGTACAGTAGGCCAATCAGTGGCCACCGTGCTGAGTGGACCCAGCTGGACTCCATCCCCCACTGAGCGAATTAAAAAAAAAACAGAGGAAGGGAAATGTCTGCTGTTGGAAGCTGCTACTGAACAACAGCTAGAGAAGACATCACTATGGACCCTGGTCTCTGTGTGGGTGTGGGGGGGGACACTCTCACGCTGTATCATAGGGTCCAATAAATCCAATCATCAATCCAAAACCCATCTGTAGTTACACTCATACACATGACAATATTATGGAGTTCTGTTTCATTATGCATATTGAAAATATTTATTTAGTCAAATTGATTACAGGTATGAGCTGAAGAATGTATTCTTACATAAAGATTTTCCTTAACTCAACACTTGTTTTATCAGTATTTCACTGATTTGGTCTCTTATTATTCTTCAGCATATCAGAAGGTGTGATACAGATCATGCAGATACATCTTCAAATTTAAATTTTGTAGATTTTTTGGTGGTTAAGGAGTTTAAAGTTGTCACCTCCCCTCTCCCCCTAAATTTTTAACACATTCTACAAATCGAACCAAAATTTTGAAAAATTACCTTAAATTTGTGTATACCCTGCTTTGGTAGTGGTGTTTTCTCCACACTGGATGTAATGGTTCTGCCAACATGACACTGTTCTCCTGAAATTAAATAGTGGCATATTTTCCATCCTGAGTGTAATAGGTACACCAATATATAAGGAGCAGTCAAATGAAAAAGGGTCACCACGCATAACTCACATGGCGCACAAGTTGGTAACACTTGAATTTGCTTACGGTATGAACATCTGATGGGGACTCAGGAAAGCACGGTGACAGCGTGCCCTTGCACACTAGTCGTTTGTTTATTGCTGGAAGTAAGGTTAGTGCTACGTGTGGTCGTCCAACATCAGTAATGGAGGCAGGTAAAGAAGAACAGCGAAGTGTAGTGCACTGTTTGACTACTGAAGGAGTAGGAGGACGAGAAATTCATCATCGTATGTCTGTTGTTTACGACGAACACAGCATCTCACATTCGCGTGTGCTGGCATGGCATAAGAGATTCCGAGAGGGACGTGTGTCACTGCAAGATGATGCTCGTCCAGGACAGGCTCATCGTGTCATCACTCCTGATGTTATTGCTGCATTGGTTGGTCATATCCAGGCAAACCGACAGTCACTGTGGAAGAAATTAGTCTTTTGATGGGAATAAGTCATGGTTCCATATATGCCACTGTGACAAAACACCTGCTGTACCACAAAATCTGCGCACAGTGGGTTCCACATCAACTCACAGAGGAACAGAAGACTTGGAGAATAACTGCATCACTGGGTCACTTGCAACGATACCATGAGGAAGAGTATGCTTTTCTGTCCCGTATTGCCACTGGGGATGAAAGTTGGTGCCACCATTTTGAACCCGGGAGCAAACAGCAGAGCCAACAGTGGAAACACGTGAATTCTCCCCTACCAAAGAAATCCAAAGCCATACACACAAGTTCCGGTAAAGTGATGATGATGATGTTTTTCTTCGACTGCAAGGGCCCTCTGCTTGTCAAATTTCTCGAGCGTGGGGCCACAATCATTGCACAGTGCTATGAAGACACTTTTGCAGAAACTGAGACGTGCCATAAAGTCAAAACGCCCTGGAATGCTATCGAATGGCATTACCCTTCTTCATGATAATGCGCGCCCCCACCAACTCAGTGAGGAATACACTACAGAGATTTGGTTGGGAAGTGCGTCAACATCCCCCTTACAGCCCCATGTGATTTTCACGTTTTTGGAGACCTGAAGAGAGACATTCATGGACATCGATTTGCATCGGGTGTGTGCCTGGGTAAAGATGTGGTTCCATAGACAGCCCACAAGCTTTTTCAAGGATGGGATTGACCGTCTTATCTCCCAGTGGGATAAATGTGTTAACAGTTTTGGAGATTACTTTTGAGGTAAGAAATTTTTTTAATATGTTTTGGCTTCTGACCCGTTTTCATTTGAGTGCCCCTCATAGATCAAGAACTAGAGCTTTATATGTGAGAACAAATGGCACCACATTAAAGTAAGAGAGAATTTTAACTTTGGAATGTTAACTCATAATGTCATTAGTATTGAAAACAAATGTATAAGTACATAACTCTAAAACTTATATCATCTTTTTCTTATTTTAGTATTGCTGCTCTTATGTGGGTCGTCTAACCAAATCTTTTCATATGTCTCTGATTAATTTACATCAGTTTCAGAATTAATCTTCATCTGTAAATAGAGTATTTTATATTCACCCTAGTCATGGAAACACTGATATCTCTTGTAGGTAAACCATGATTTGAGAGTTCTGCAGTCTGGTATGGAACTCGAAACAAGAAGAGTGTATGATGATCTTCAGTCACATGAAACAGGGTTCAGCAAAGATACTTATCCTGAGCCACCTTCACAGAAAGAATGCAGGACAAAGGTGTGTGCGTGTGTGTGTGTGTTTTTGAGGGGGGTGCTGTTGTATGCATGCCAATGCACTTATGTATATATTAGATCATTGACATCCTAAACATGTCAGAATCTTGCTGTTTGTAAGAGTTTTCCAGAGTTTCACAGATTCCACTGTGATCACTAGCCTATGGCAAATTTCTTTTTAAAATCTGGAAGCTCTTTCTGTTCTCCAAAATTGTCAGAGAAAGATACTTGAAATGCATGGTATACACATCCCTTCTATCCAAATTTGACGCATTTGAGAACTTTAGCCATAGAATATCATGTATCATATACCAGGGGCGCACACGGTAGCATAGTTGGTTGAGGCGCTATGCTACAAGCTGGAAGGTCGTGGGATCAAATCCTGATGAGGTCATTGGGTTTTTCAGTTGACCTAATCCTTCAAGCCGCACTATGGCTCTGGGATTGACTCAGCCTCTAACAGAAATGAGTACCAGGAATTTCCTGGGGAGTAAAGGGTGGCCAGCACATAGGGCTGACAACCTTGCAGCCATCTATGAGCCGTCTGTCTAGAAGATGTGGGACCCTTGACCTCTCACGCCCCTATGGGCCTTCACGGCCTGTTACAGGGACAGGTTTACCTTTTATCATTTACCAAAGCACAACATAGTAACATGATGTGCTAGATTAATTTCCTGGAGCTTTTTTGCCTGATTGCTGTTTTTGAAATATCATATAAGGCTGCTCTTGCCCTGTTGTGCATGTGGTGAGCATTCTGCCAGGATTCTATGGTAAAGAAATTTAGAATAATCAGTTTGTCTTCTCAGATTAATGTATCTCTGACTTATAAGTTGTAACCTTATGAATTGTTCAAGGGAATCAAATAGAAAATTTTGAACATTCTCCTCTGCTCTATAAACAAGGACTATTGTCTATGCTGTAATACAGGTGACTCTGCGAGGTCCAAATAGCCCTCTTGAGATGAAACTGTACAACCTGACACAGGTGGGTATGTCTCGTGTGGTGAACATTGAGTGGAACTCTGTCAACTCTGTGCTGCTTGATACTGAACCACAGGACCCACATGACAGGTGAATTTCTGCTTTGTTGTCACGCTTTTATAGGTTTTTTTAATAATACCATATCAATTATAGATATATTAGTGTTATATAAATTAAGAGGGTGACAGTAAACATGAAACTATAAAGGCTCACAAGGTTATGGGTAGGGAAAAGTGTGAGAAATTGTAGAATAACCAGTTCTCCGCAAGATTTGAGGTTCTCACAACAGTGGTCACAAAGAGTTCCTTGTTCTGGGATATAAGACTGTGTAGTCCACTGAACATCAACGGATATTTCAGAGGAACATATTGCCTCCATCTTTAGGGTTGAAGAATAAACCAAGCAAGAAACCAGCTTGAAAGCAGATGGCAAGCAGACAGAAAATGGATCTGCTTGCCACCTTCTTCCATGCTGGTTTCTTGCTTGGCTTATCCTTCAATCCTGAATATGGGGTTGACATTTTCCTCCAAAACATCTGTTGCCTTTCAATACACCACATGGCTCTATTTCCCAGAAGACAAAACTCTTCAGCCAGTTCCCTGTCTGAGACTTGAATTGGGTATTCCCAAATGCTCGTCAGAAGCGTTATCCCACAGCCCTCATGGCAGATGTGATGGTGCTTTTATTGTGTATTGAAATTGGTTAGTTTGAATGTTACAGCCTTACATTAGTTACGGAGCTTCCTTAGTATCATACAATATGAGATGGTAATGTAAAATAACTGGCGAGGGTAGCAAGCAAGAAAGATACTGGCCAAACATAACAGAGTTCAACTGATATGGGTGCCAGGTCATGAGGGTAGTGTTGATAATGAAATGGCAGATCACTTGGAAAGAACAGGATCTGAACATCCATTCATAGGACCTGAACCAGCTTGTGACATCTCATTTGGAGTTGCCAAGAAAGCAATCAGGGACTGGACAAACAGAAATCACAAAAACATTTGAGAATCCATAACTGGACTTAGACAAGCAAAGGGACTTGTACTAGAGTCCTCTGCCAGAAGAAAGAAGGTTCTCTTAAAATTAATCAGAGACCAATTAAGATAGGTGGTAGGACTATTCACAGAACACTGTCACCTAAAAGGACACGTTTTTAAACTGGGATTGACAGATGACCCCACTTGTGAAAGGTGCCTAGAAGAAGATGAACAGCCACACATATCCTATGTGACTGTGAGGCCATAGCTTATTTAAGATTTCATCACCTGGGCCAGTTTTTTATGGAGCCAAGTGACTACTATGACGCCCCAGTAAACAAAATCCTACATTTCGTTGGAAGTGTAGGATTAATAAAGGGTTAATCAAGAGGGGAAGCACAATAGATCATTGAAGGTCAGGGTGCAAGGGCCAGATTATTATGGCCCACCCTTCTTGCATTTATTCATTCGTTCAAGCCAGAAGCATTGTGTTTCAATCTACTTCGGAAAACAAAATCAAAATAACAGTCATTCTAATAAAGAGATAAATTTTATATAAATATTGCATCTACAGACGACTGCTCTTTTGCAGTGAAATACACAACATCTGGATTACTGTAGAATGGCAGGTAAAATTGCTTCTCTGAATATGGTTAAAAGGAAGTGAATACATTTTTGCATGTGTGTAGAAAGGAGGAAAAGTAATTGTGAATACAGAGCACAGTAAAGGTTCTGTAATATTAATGCTTGTAAAATGACAACATGAATCTGAGTTGTAAGGTAAGGAATTTTTTTAAATACCTTAACCATATTTACTGAATAATTCTTAATGCTTAATAAACCAAAGGAAAATACATAAGTTGATTCTGCTTGGGACAGTGCATCATGTGGCCTTGACATTTCTGAGGTACATGCTGTCTCTGTCCTCAGGGTTGACCCTGAAGATATCAACAACATATACCTCTGAAATGTCAACAACACTGCCCACATCCGTGTGGTACCAAGACTTGAGATCAGAATGAATGTCAGCAATGAACCATTCTGAAAGCCTACATTCAGCAAAGGGAAACATACGTAGTCATGTGATAGAGTGACTGTAGATGGGGTTTGGATTGGTAATTGGATTTATCGAGCACTTACGGATTGTAACTACAAATAATAGTAGCACTGAAAGAAAGCAGTCTTCTGGGATTTGGCACCATGTATATTTGGTGTTAACCGACGTTTCGGAGGAACGTATCGCCTCCATCTTCAGGGTAGAAGAAAAAATATAAGAATTCTGCAAGCAGAGAGACCGTGAGAACCGGTAAAAGCAGAAACACCACATATACACGCCACATCCCAGAAGACTGCTTTCTTTGTAGTCACCGCCGTGAAAGCCTCAAATCTTACAATAGTAGCACTATTACAAATTCCCACATTCTGCAATTCACTACAGCACGCACCAAGCCTTCTCAGTCTGTTGTATCTTCACCAATCACTGCCTGGTAGCAGCTTCTAACGGCAGACATTCCTCTTACTCTGGGTTCCCAAACTATCCCTCTGCTTCAGCTACCAGCTTCAAACAGGAACACCTGAACCACAGCAGGCCTCCAACTAACTCACTCACCAACCAACTCACTGCACTAGCTTGGTCGGTCAAGTGATGTAGCCATAAAGTGTCTGAATAATGCCAGTGGAGACTCCCTTCATAGTGAGCTATTGCTGACGGTGCTATTGAAGGCCCCATAGAGGGCCATTAGTCTGAAGCTGGATGAAACTCTTGCAGTAGCAGCTGATTGATGCTACTAGCAGTGAGGCTGGCTGGCCAGTGAAGCTCTCATCATAGTGGGCTAGCCAGCGCAGTGTTCTTGTTTGCAGCAGCCTGGTGATTGCGAGCTGACATGTTGGCCTGATGAGTGCTCGTGGTCTCTGGCAGAGTCGGCTGCAGTGCTGGTACTAGTAGACTTGCTGCTCCGGTGATCTCACAATACAAGTGTGGCCATGACTGATGCTATCGTGTTGGAGCCCCACATCTTTATACGTTTGCCACTAGGCAGCACACTAATGAATAGACGTTGGAGCTGCTATGGTGATCACTAATTGGGTAGTGCTCATGTGGCTGTACAGACAGTCAGGTTGCAAGCTGTAGTGTTCACTTGCTCTTGATACACTGTGGGAGTTGTCTGTCTGACTGTGGGAGGTTTCCACACAATAATTTCATCAATCTGACACCAGTTGTCATGTGATAGAGTGACTATAGCTGGGGTTTGGATTGGTAATTGGATTTACTGAACCGACCATAGCTACAAGTAACTATAACAGCCTCACTAGTTTGCACACGCTATAGGTCACTGTAACTGCAGCACTTATGAAGTGTTTTGTCTTCACTAATCATCTCCTGGTAACGGATGCGAACACTGTTCTCAGTTTACATCCTTACTGTCTGGCACATATCCACATATCCCACAACTGAACCAAGCTCTAAACTTCATTCTGCTTATAACCCCTCAGCATGGGCCAACAGAAAACACAGCTCTGCTGTTGTTGCATGCATGCCTGTTGGAGTTCCCACATGATTGCTACTCAGCCAGCCTCATTGTTTATTTCGCACACTTTGCCTGGCATCAAATCTATACATGACAGTAGAATTCAGTTCTGAGCCATCTTGCATGATTCTGTGCAATTGCTAGTAGCTTTGTCAGCAGTTAGAAAAGATGTATTCTGAAAATGGGCACTTTGTCCACCATAATATGGCACATCCTTAGGTTGTGGATGTAGGAGACCACCTTCTGATATCAAGGTTATCTGTGAATATGCCGAATAAGCAGTAATGATCAGGCAAAACAAGTGGTAGTGCTACATCTTGGGAACTGGACATGGGACTAAAAGCTCCCCACCATGAGAAAATAGCTTGTTACGAAATATCACAAAAGGACGTGAATGAATACTATGTGTCATTTTGTGAATACAGTAACGAATCATAGTTGGTTATTTAATTATGGTATTTTTTAAATGGGGTACTCATTTCTACTTATGTTTTCACATTTTAGAAGTTACTGGAATGTTTTACAGACTTTTGGTGGCTGCCAATGTCGGACAGAATCCACAAGCAGATCGTTTGACTCTCCACCACACAACACTCATGCCCAACCTTCATGGCCTTGCCTCACTTGTGTGTCTCATCTTTGCACCAACAATAGAACTGAGGTACAGAACATTTTTGAGTTGCATTTTATTATATTAACATGGGAGACGGACATTTTGAAGAAGGTACTAGACTGGTAACTAAGCAAGTGGTTTGGGGAATCAAAACTAACCAAGAAGAGAGGGAAATGTATAAAACACTGATTTAGTAACAGATATTATAAAATGATAGTTGGGGTGGTTTAATGTAATTAGAAGGGATGAAAAGAGGGTGTATAAGAATTTTTTTATAAGCAAGCTAGAAGGTAGAAATGAAGTGAAAAGACGCAGACTAAAATGGCTATAAGTTGTAGAGGATGATTTATAAGACCTGAAATTGAGGAGTTAGAGACTAATGACAAATAGTGGGGATAATAGGTGTTTATCTTATTAAAGAAACCCAAGGTTCTTCAAGGACTGTAGAGCCAAGGAGTGGGTGAATATTTCATTATGTTATACAAAAGCTGAGAGAGAGAAATTTAATTGTGGGGCAGGAGTTTGTATAACATCTTTATGAACTTCAGATAAAATGTGGGCGTTCTTTCTCCTGTCAATTCCACTTCTGTCAGGTATTTTAAAGAGGCTTTTGTATTGATTTGTTTTATTGTAATTTTGTGACCATTCCTTATACTCCTGCATTCTCAGTATTTCTTCAGCTGATCTTACTCTCAAGAATTATAGTCTTTAAGTACTCTGCGCCTTTTGTACACAAAATGAATGCATATCTGTCTGTTGGTGCACTTTATTGTCTACTTATTTCTTCTCTGAAACTATTCATTGGATTTTAATGAAAGTTTAATATTAGAATACTGCACTAAACGTCAGAAAATCATTTTGGTCTGTATTGATCTGATATAACCTCAGCTTTACATGAAGATCAAATTTAACTTTCATGGCTTTCTCAATAACAGTCCATCATTCAGAATATTAATGTATGGTGTAAGCTATAGATCTCAGTGAAAGTCTATTGTTAGGATAATGAAATCTAAGAGATCTGGATGGGCTGGGTATGGAACTAAGACAGGCCATGCATACAGAATCTTGGTGGGGAAACATTTGCCTGGAAAACTAAAAAGACAATGGCTAACATTAAGATGGAACTTAGAAAGGCAAGTTGTCAAACTAGAATAGTCTCTGGAATGTTTCAACAAAACAGCAGTGTATATATAATATTGGTTTGTGCCTGTTAGGGTCAATGAGTCAAGGACAAGGTTGATTGGAGCGTTGTGTGGCCTTGGGTGTGATAAACTCACAGGACAACCAGTATTTCGAGACCATGACATGGAAGTGGCATTTGATACAGAGATAACAATAGAAGATCTTCAGGAAGTGAACCGTTTACGATACTGGATGAATATTGCTATGTACACTGATGAGGGTGAAGATACTCCAGACAATGGACCCAGAGATGTCATCAAATGCCAGAATAAAATAAAAAATTTTCTGTTTGCGTAAGTAAAGGCCCTTTATTATATTTATTTAGCACTTAATGAAAGATAAAGGAAATAAGAAATTTATTGAAAATTTGGTTGGAAGTTGTATAAGGAAGAGGCTGCTTGTAAGTCATAGGTGTAGATCAGAGGATATTGTTAAAAGTGGAATAAACTTTGATTCAATTTGAAGTGGCTAAGGACAGGATATGACACCAGTCTTTGGTATCAGTGGTTCCTAATTACAGAAAGTGTATCAGCTGCTCAAAACAGATTCTGTATTATGGTATGAGTGTGTGAATTGCTTAGTTAGTTTATAATTAAAGTACTGTCATCTTAAGAAATGTATAGTTTCTCTAAAATATTGAAGAACTTAGGATTCAACAGAAAGCATATGTGTTCAGCAGGAATGAGAGTAAATTCAGTTATTACAGAGAAAAAATTAAATTGAGAAATCATATGTTCACACCAGATAGGATAGGATGTTCATTGTCATCATTTAAGTAACATATTAACTGATATAAGGAGTTATTTCAGAATCCTGTTGTGTTATTTTGTTGACCTTTTAGTAGAAGAATTTCTCACTGTTATTCCAGTTTGTTGAAAAAGAAACGGAAGTCTAAGGAAATATGTGCAGCCAGGAGGCCTTTCCAATGGAATCAGCTGGATTCCAGGTATCTCCTTGATCCCAGTGAGAGCAGGGTGGATGATCGAGCAATATTCCGACTGCATTGGGGTGTGGACTTAGAAGAAGAGGATGATAGTCACATAAAGGAAATGATGCAACACGTTAAAGACTTACATTCTAAAGCAGTCAGGTATGAGTAGGAAACAGTTACTGGCACTGTTGTCATTCCCAGTAAGCATCTTAACCTCTCTCTCTCTCTCCCTGAAACTCATTCTTTTAATCCCCTATCAATTACATTTAAAACTCTAGTTTTGTGCTCTCTGCTCAACTGTCATGGGATTTTATTATGTTTTAATAAATCATTAAGGACACAGGTCCTTAAATTATGTTGTACTACACTAGGAGGAGGAAAGAGTTATTGGTCATCATTTGGTGGTGGGGATTTTTAAATCTAGTACTATGAGGTTGGCAGCCATATTTTATTTCAGAGGTAACAGTTTTTCATCCAGGATTAGGGAATTTTAAATCTTCTGGTTGTACAGTGCTGGTGGCCATGTATTAACTTGGGGTTTTTATCAAGGAACATTTTCATCTCAGTGTTCATGAAAGAATTGTATGATGGACTCCATAGACATAGATTTCTGGGTGTTCTATATATGCTTGTCAAATTTTTATGTAAGCAGGAAACCATTATTTTCCCTCATAATCCACAGTATTTTTACACATGACCACATTCCTTCAATAATGTTGCAACTATGCAGTGCCTGTAAGACACCAATGTCCAGAATCTCCATCCTATATTTTGCTGTTTCTGTCTTAATACTGCTGTGGTCTGTCTAAAACATCTTTAATGGTATATTTTACTTTGAGTGTGCACCCTTCTTGAAGAAAAACCCTGTGTGTACAATGAGAACTGTGATTTGGTGATTTTTGTTTCCATCTTATCTTCAGAATAGAATCTAGTAACTTTCTAATGATGACAAATGATCTCTGTCAGCATCTCATGATGGTGCAACCACATAGATATTTTAGACACAGTATACCTGAATTCTTTTTATCTCTCATTATTTTGCTTTTCAACATCTTTGTAGATTGATTGGTCCCTACTCAGTAAACATGGATGGCAGTTGTAGGAAACTGAAAACAGACAGAGGTGGGAAGCTGTCATAAAACTAATTTGTTATTGTCATTCTCATGTGAGATTCCATGCTGTATTCAGTAGGATCAAGGAGTTTGTATCATCTAATATTAAATTAGCAGTAATAAGCAGCAATTTAAAAGGATATCAGACATGGGGAATGTAGTGGTTGCTCAGCCTGGTTCAGGATATTGTTTATGAATTATTCTGAGAAGAAGAAAAGTGTACTTTTTCCCATTATTATTAAGTTTTCTGACCTCAGTTTGGTGTATGAAATTATACTGTGAAATGTAATATCTGTATATTTTGTGTGCCTCAAGTTTTAAACAAAATTTATTTCTGGGTAAAGGAAAGGTAAAGTTGTCTCTGTGTTTAATTAGCTAAGTAGTATGCCATGAAGACATATGGGGGAATGGAGGTTTAGCAACACCTTTCTTGACCTCAGCGCTAGATGGAGGTGAGTGGTCAGGTTCATGCCCCTGCTGCTTAACCCCCTTCCCCCAAGGAGAGAGCCCCTGGTACCCATTGGATAGGAGGCTGGGTGGGTCCCAGAGTCCATCCGAACACTGTGGCTAAAGATGATAAATATGATAAAAATGATACATAAATGATGCACGTAAATACAGTAATCTATGCATTGTCCCAAGCAGCTCCCTAATAAGGTGCCAGTCAGTTCAGGTGTACTACCATCATCCTTATTTCGGTTGGCACGGACAACATTTCTGAGAGTGGTCACTGCTCCAACCTCTATGGGTCTTATGCTGCTGTTAGTGGTCTCATCTTTTCAAAGGGTGCCAACCCTTCCACAATCTCCAGTCACTCATTTTTCAAATCCTAACTGAAGGCTCAACTCTTTGCTTCACGATCTCCAGCATGAGAGCCTTTCTGAAGATCTTGTTGAATGCCCTCGTTTGCTAGACATAGCTGCTCCTTTAAATTTCGGTCCCTTGTTCCTTTGCTGCCTTCCTGGCATGTCTGTCCTTTAGGGGCATCTCTTGTCACATTATCCCTGCCTGGTCCCTGATGACCAAGTCCCTTGCACGGTGCAGGAATGGCACAATGGGTCATCTCTCTGCAGGTGATGGCCAACTTCTTCCAGGACCCACCATCACACTGGGTCCATTTTTTCAGCTGTTGGTGGCGCCCTATGGCTAGATGCTGGTCTCCATACCACTCCTTCAGTGCTCTGACAGTTTTCATTGTGGCCTCTTTAGGGACCCCCTCATGCACCACTACAGACTCTGTCTCCACTGAGGATGGCTGACAGGCCTCCCTCACTTCTTGGCAGGCTGTCATCTCTTATCACCAGGCCCTTATTTGTGCTATGATTACCTTTAGGATGGCGCCCATTTTTACTTCATTGGTTCTTATTGCATCTTTCATTTCCTCTCGGTTCTTATCTCTTTTTCATTTCTTTGAGATTTACGTCCATCTTAGCTTCAGTCTTGGCTAGCAGTTCTTGATTGTGTTTCATTTCTTTTCAGTTTTCATTTCTTCTTGAAAGGAATCCATCTTTGTAGGCTGATAGTACAACTGTCTACTGCAGCCTTCTGCAATTCAATCCAGTTGATCAATCCTATCCCACTTCTGACACCAGTTATCATGTGTATGAGTGACTATAGATGGGGTTTACACTGGAGATTGGATTTATTGACCACTTTATCACACTGCATGTGACTACATTTCGTTATAGCGCCATCACTAATCTCCACACTTTACAAATCACTACAGCACATGTTAAGTCTTTTCAGTCTGCTGTGTCTTCACCAGTCATTCCTTGGTAATGTCTTCTTACAGTGGAGATTCTTCAACAACCATGCTGCTTTGTTGCACATGGCCTCTCAACTGCACCAACTAAGTCTTTTCTTCACAGACTCCCTTACAACTCTCTTACCTCTTCAAAGTCAAAGTCAAAGTCACATTGCGACCAGTGGTTAGTCAGTCAGTAAGTCTTGGTGTCGAGCCCCGTTTGGGGCTCATGACCAGATATTAATTATTACCATTTGACAGTTACGGTCTTGTTTCTGTGGGGCACCTTCTCTGACAAGAGGATGGGTCTGTCTTTTGTATATGCTGCTGGCCCTTGCCAGCGCAGTCTTACTGGGATCCAAGTCCCTTGGGACTCGTGACCATATTTTACTGTCTCAGAATTGAGACTTCCCTTTTCGTTGCTTCCTACGACTCTTAGGGTCACGGCGGAGGTATTGGACCTAACCCTCTTACCTCTTGCTCCTGTTGTCCTCCTTATAACATCTTGGCACGGACCACATAGAAAACACTGTTCATTGTTGTACACCAATCATTTTCGTTTGAACATGTATGTTTACAAAGACGTTACTCAGTAATGGCTGCATATATTTGCTTATTAGGAATCTGTTGATGTTGTTTTGTTGTTTGTTTCAAGGTCGTTATGCAGGAACAGAACTGCACACCAGAGTATGATTGCATGACCACAAATGTGTATACTAAGAAAATTTTAAGATTGTTTTGAATATTAGTGTACTTTTGAAATATTGAAATTTCAAAAATTGAATTTTCATGAATACCTGCTTATTAATAGTGCTGTGTCCTGGCATTTTTGGATGTATTGTCTCTCAGTTAAAGGCCAGACATGTAACTCGTGGCTCTGACTTGCAGGCCATCTTTCTTTTTCTCCCTGCAGATAATTGTAGCTCTGCTTACCAGGTTCTACAATGTATCATCTGTATATCATCTTAGAGAAGGGGTTTCTTCAGCTTAAATAGCTTTTAATGGTACATGTCTGTCTTTTTTTAGCTCTGAGCCACTTAAGGAAGTTGTATGCAAGTTGTGTCAAGTAACAATCCAGTCAACTCAAGCACTCAGACTTCACCTTCAGACAGCACAACATAAAGACCATGAGGATGAGCTGGCCAGATAAATATGATTGGCATCATGAATTGTCAAATGAGATGATGGTTTTCAGAATATTGACTGTTTAATTTTGTATTTGACTTTTGTTTGTTTACTGTATGGTATACAGTAGATAATTTTTTTAAAGCCCAGAACATTTTATTATTTAAATAAGACTGAACAAGTATTTGATTATAGCATAGGTTTGAAACGCTCTGTACCAAGCCTGATGCTACAGGATATACAAGAATTATCAGGTTGTTCCACAAAAACTCAATAACACAAAAGACATCTGTGTCCAAGACTAGAAACAGAAAGTGTTGAAAATTAAATACTTTTACTTGATGTCCCATTTGTTAGCACATGAATTACAGGCAATAGAAAAGATTGTATCACAGCAGGATTAGCAAAAATTTACCTAGCATAATCAGTTTCCTGGCAGGAAAATGATGTTGAAAGCTTGTCCAGGGGCACATTTCCATCAGGAGTGAATCTCTCTTGTGCCAAACAATATCTGTACACTATCGTATTTGATGTTTAACAAATAGTTTAATTTTGTCCACTCATTTAAAGTTGAAACTGAAAAGTTTATAAGAATTTTTATGCTTTCATTTTGTATTTGTCTTATGTACATTGTGATATCATTGTGAATGTATGATTTAAAAATGCCCATGAATATTAAGGCACATTTATCACATGTTTATGATAAGTATTGTTGTTAGCTGATTCTAGAATGTTATGTTCAGTAATACAACACGAAGTGATGTTACCTTGACAGTACTGGAAGTATGTAATGTCACCATGGAGGCATATATTTATGGAACATAGTGGGCTAGTAAGACATATTAAGAGACATATGTAAGTCTCAGATTTTATAAATCAGACCAAGCAAAAGTATAGGTCTCAGTCTGAATGATGATTTTTCAGTCAAACTTGCAGAATAACCAGATAACTGCTTCTCTGTACTGTAGTTAGCACAGACAACCTGATCCATTAGAATCATATTGGTTGACAAGAGTAGCATAAATCAACTCTCCCCCTCCCCTCCCACCCCCCTCTCTCTCTCTCTCTCAAGGCAAGAAGGGGCATGGCCCTTCAGATTGAAGAAAAGTTTTTGGATCTGAAATCAAAAGGGATATCTAGCACACTGACGCATGAAAATGTTGATAGGTTCAAAATTGTGATCACAGTAAAAAGAATGGTTTACTAGAGAATGTTTTCATTCTCATCTTCAGTCTCAAAAAATTTTTCTAGATGTTCATGTGAATTTAAGTTTTCATTTGGATGTGTGGTGCTTATTTAAAAGAATGTGTACTCTCTGTACAAATATATGAAAATCCCTTTATCATAAATTGTTACTACTAATTTCTGCTGTCCAGACTGATATGTTCATTTCATGAACACACATATTGTGTGTGCGTGTGCATGCATGTGAGAGAGGGCGGGCGTGCGCACGCGTGTGTGTGTGGAGGGGGAGTTCAACTAATTTTGTTGAGTTGCACAATTATGTGTGTCCTATTTTGGAGTGTGTTATATTCTGATAATTGAGCTAATGTTAGAATGAACAAAACCTTTCATCAAAGATATCCATATAAGCTGAATGCAGTTTCACGCCAGTTCAAGCATAATGTGAATTAAGAAACAAATAATTATTGTGAATAACCGTGTTTAGTTGAAGAATTGAGGTTGTATGGCTACCACACACAGATACAAGTATGTAACTGTTCTGTTCCATATTACAATTGTTTCTATATTAAACTTAAATTTAACATGTATTATGTATTAATTTATATAAGAATGAATGCAGTCCTTTATTTCTATGTCTTGTCTATCAAATATATTCAAAACAGCTCTGGTGATGGCATGTAATATTTGGTAATACTAAATTTATGGAAAGCTGTCCATCATGTTTTATTCTGAATAATACACAGCATCTTGGAAATTGCATCTGTTTCCATACAGATGGTGGGGGGGGGGGCTTGCACATTTGAATCCATTAGAAAGAGCTAACTCAATCACTTGACAAGGAACAGATCCAGTTTTTGAAGTGTGTTCTGTTCAGAATACTAGACAATGGACAAAATCCATGAAGCCAGTAATAGTTCACTATCACATTTAATAATCAACAGCGTGAAATGTTGGTACAAGTAACACTGAAATTAAATTTCAAATTGTACATTATAATTTTCAATTTCACGTTCAGCTTCTAGGTCAGTCATTTCATTTTGTACATCTTATACCACTAAATAGGCTCCATAAAAATTTTGTACCGTTTAACATTGGCTGTCAACTTATATGGTGTTGGGATGTCTGCTGAACATTACTACACAATAATGCTAATCATTAATTTGGCATGTGATTACATCATCTCTAAGTAAGTTGTAAATTTTTATTTAATGCTGATAATGCAAATTGAATTGAATTCTACTGCCATTCAGTATTGTTTGGGGGAGAGGGTTATTTTACAGTGCCCTTAGTAGCTAGACTATAGAGTGGTGAATGGTAGGATGACAGATGCATGATGAATTGGAAAGAATTTCAAAAGAAGTGGCCATGGCCTAATTTGTGGCCATAACTATCCTGGAATTTGCATGGCAGGACTAAGGAAAACCATAAAATTGCTTGATCAGAATAGCCAGTGTCCCAGCTATGCATCAGACTGAGCATCTCTCAAATACAAGTCCATAGCATAACCACAGTACCCATTCACATGGTGTGTTGGTCATGAAGTGCTGACAGACTAGACTTGCTTTCCTGAGATGTTACTAATTTACTTTAGGGTTGCTTGATCCTCTTCTATATTATGGTGCTAAGGTATTGCAAAGAGCTTACCACTTTATCTTATCTTAGGCTTGCATTCTAAACTCTTTCATGATATTTCTTCTCTCACATGTTCTGAAAATTTTTTTCCTAAGTGCCTTGCCTGCCACACTATCTTGAGATATTTTTATTTGGTAGCAACAGCAGCATCTTTTTGTTCCACCATTCCAGTTTTCATCTGTCATGTTACAGTATCTTGTATACCCGTACAGTCTATTTGACCTCTAAATCTGAGAACATTTCTTTTAATTAACATTTAAAATTAAGTTCCAATTTTATCTCTTGTATTCTTCTGTTCTTAAAAAATGTAGTTTCTAATGAATGTACTTGTAATTATCCAAATATTATGTCTATGGGAGTATAATATTAAAATGTATTTTAGAGAGATACAATGGGGTGGTATGGACTGGAGATCTGGCTAAGGATAGGAATCAGTGGTATGCTCTTGTGAGCATTGTAGTGAACCTTTGGGTTCCATAAAGTGTTGGGAAATTCTTTAGTAAGTTAGCAATTTGTGGTTTATCAAGGACTTGTCTCCATGGAGTTAGTTACCATATACTAATGCCATTGATAGAGGAAGCCAAAATTGATGGGTTACCAAAGACATCCCTTATTACATATACAGACATACTGTTTGTACAGTCATTTGGTGTAAAGAGTCTTTGAACTGTAGTGGCCATCAACAAAATGACTGGCTACAAACTGGATAAACTGAGGCAGGGATTTTTTTGTTTACCTCCATGTCCAGATCAGTTCCAGTGCCATCCAGCCTTGTGTCAAATAGATGCAAGGAATTCTTTTCACTGGTTCAAAGCTGATGGACTGTAAATCTGGTAATTCACCTATCTAGTGACAGTGTTAATAATGAGTGAAACTTTACCTGAATTATCTCATGTTTTCCTTTCATCACTCTTAAGGACAGAGACAATTTTGCTTTTGCTGAGTGAGCAAACATTGGTATTTTAGCAGTGTTGTATGATGAAATGATGCTTACAATATTTCGTGTTTTGACAAACTGCAGTCACAGAAAATCAGTTGGTGTCATAGTGTATGATGTTAAGGCTTCACTGGGGAGAAATATGTTTGAACACTAAACTGAGGAAAGTCTTCAGTGGAGGAAATTTAGTGCTGACATTATTGACTTTGGATAATTGAAATTTAATGTTCAGCAAGGGAATACAATTTGAAGGGGGTTTGACTGTGTTCATGTTTCCTGCTACAGCTTGTATAATTTTCTCCTTACCACAAGGGGATGGTTGCATGTAGCTGTTGTTCAAAAATTTAAAAGCTTGAGAATCACTGCTTCACATATATAATTGGTGGATCATGTAGCATGTGTGGGGAGATAAGATATGCATACAGAATTGTAATTAATTAACCTCATGGAAAGAGACCACATGAAAATCATTACCTGTGTGGAAGAACAGTATTAAAGTGGATAATAGGAATATACTGGGGAGGATGAGGTGGGCAGGGCATGTAGCATGAATGGGGGAGACGAATGCATATAGGATATTGGTGGGAAAGCCAGAAGGAAAGAGACCACTGGGAAGACCAAGGCGTAGGTGGGTGGACAATATTAAAATAGATCTTAGATAGATAGGATGGGATGGAATTGATTGGATTGATCTGGATCAGGATAGGGACCAGTGGAGGGCTCTTGTGAACACGGTAATGAACCTTCGGGTTCCATGAAATGCTGGGAAATTCTTGAGTAGCTGCAGAAGGGCTCAGCTCCATGAGTGAGTAAGTAAGTAAGTAAGTAATAAGGATATACTGAAGTTGGGGTAGTGCAGTCAGTATAGTGACTGGCTATGGGCTGGACTACAGAGAGGTCAGAAGAGTTTGAACCCTGGTAGGGTCAAGAATTTTCTCTTCTTGATGTTGTCCAGGCTAGTTACAGGGACCACCGACCCTTCTTTCCAATAGGAACTGTGGATAGAGCGGCCGGAGCGTGAAGCTGACTACTGACCTCCAGTTAACACCAAGGTCAAGAGAACGTGAATCTATAGATCCGTTAGAAAAATAGGCTTCTAATATAATATTTCTTATCTGTGATATACATAGTTTACCTTACCTTTATTAATCCCAGTTCACAAGTTAGTTACATAATCCTTCTGCTGTTTAACCCATGTTTCCAATTATCCAGGCAAATTCATTTCCCACTCAACTCAAATAATTTGGAGTCTTGCTTTATTTACTGGAACTGTCTCATAATATTTCATTGAAAAACATAGTTTCTGCAAGATGTATTTTGCGTGAATTTCAATGTGTTAAATTAATTTTGCTGTGGAACTTCTTTAAATGTATCAATAGTGAGAAACTGTTTATACTTTTAACAAACTGTGTTCATACTTTTCATTGTTACAGAACTTCATCAAACTGCCCATATAATTGAGCCATTTTGCAGCCATATTTTTTAATATTAATGCTTGAGTGACATTGTTTCTACATATATATATAAGATCTGATGGTTAAGTAACCAGAATTATTTGTCCAGCAAGTGGCAACACTGTTGAGGTGGTGCATGTTAGGTCTCATGACTACAGGATTCAACATTACCTTGGCAGTCAATCAGATTTAGTTCGCTTTTTGTGCAAAACTTCATTTAACTGTCGTAACCGATATTGCCTAAGCAAGTCTCTCCCATTAATCTATCACAAGACCCTTATATTGACTGAGACATGAACTTCCAAGAACAAATAATAAATCCTGCATCACATGTCAGATTGCTAGCATTTAATGTTTAGAAATTGGCTAGCTGGTTGCCAATTCCTAAACATTTTTAAATGACATCTTTCCATGTGTGCTCATACACACACACAAACACAGTCTACAGTGCAGAGAAATTTTCAGGGAACACTTGCTGCTGTAGAGGACCTGATGATCTTGGGGTAAGACAATGGACTCTCATTCAGAGGGGTCCGAATTTCAGGAGTCCATTCTCAGTATAGCCCTAATTTTGGGTAACAAAATGTACCCTATGGGTCTCCCTGCCTCACAAATTGATTTTGCACCTCTGCCTACATGGGCAGAGGCCAGGAAGGTCACTAGTGGGGGGGCACAAGGCAAGCAGCAACATTTGATACAATTTAAATTTGCGCAGTCATTGTCTTATTAAAATGACTTAATCATAGCCTGTGTGTTTTTAATGACGTTTATCAGTAAGTAAAACACTTGCTGACAGTATCATCACTGCAAACTTGTGATTTGCAGTTGCTGTCATAGCTATTTTGAATTCAGATCAGAATCATTTTCTGCAATTAACTAATAATTTCCTTCAGCATAAACAATAACAACCTTCCCATGGTCCACCATTTTGATGTAACTGAACTTAATATTGAGCTTTTGGCTCTTGCCACATGAAGAGAAAATACTGGGAATAGTAAGCTCCCATAGATTCTCTTTTAGCTGGATCAGTAAAACAAAACTGATCCATTGCTGATACCAATTAAAAGAGAAATCTCATATGCACAAGGATACTATTTTGCAATGGCTTTGTGAGAAAGCATTAGGTGTCCCTGGGGTTTTAGTGCATCAGTCCTCAAAATTTTACTAGAAATCAAGAGTGAAGTGCCTAGTGAAGACAACACCACACGCTGCTAGGGGGAACAATGCACAAGCAAGGGCCATTGCAGATTGCAGAAGTAACAGAACAAGGGGCTAATGAACATAAAAAAACAAGCTGCTGCAATAAAACACCTGGTGATAAACATATAGTTCAAAACAAGTGGATGACACCCCTTGCGAGGTGGAATAGAATTTTACAATAAGTAATGAAAATATTTTAATATAAATTTTTATTTTTCATATTATGTGGACAACAGCTTGTTATTTTAGCGCATATTAATGCAGTGTAGCAGTTTTAATATATTAAGACACCTGAAGATGGCTATCTAGGGCCGAAACATGTTGTGTTAAAAGTGTAAGTGGAAGAAATTGGAACAATCTGTTGCATTATTGACAATATTATACAGAGAAGTTGTAATATAGGTTTACTAGATGTTAATTTTCACCTTGTCCTCCGGCCTCACGCCTGTTGATTTAATTACCTTGACAATAATAAATGAAAGGTAGCTAATGTAATTGTCCTCAGGTCAATACATATTCTCATCATTCCTTCGAATTTCATATTTGGGTAAATTTCGATCGCAACGGTATGTTCGTATTCACATTCCCCATTTACTGAAACTAGTTCGCTGGATATTCGTAAAGATGGCTCTATCAGTATTATATGCCATAATTGTATTAAAACCGGAAATTGCCGCACAACCCGTGTTCGATAGCGTTCGATAGGGATCAGATCGACATGCAGTGACAACAGGTGTTTCATGCCGTATTTTACTTGTAATGTGTTTTGTTGCGAAAGTGCCTTTAATTATCTGAGTGGTGGACTATCGAATGTAGTTTAGCTTTCGTATGTGTTTGCCGTGTTCGTTAATAACTTCTTAATCAATTTTATGAAATGCGGTTTCGGTCATGTTACCTACCGGTACTGGAAGTCGTACTCTTTGTTATCGACCATTAATAAATTAATCAAATCAAGTACTGTAATCCAATAAGAAAATGACAGACCGACGATGGAGGCCGAAAGTGCCGAAACCATTGCCTTTAATTGCGTAGTTTCGTGATGACATATGGTGATTAATAAAGGCACCGGTATGTAAAGATTTTTTTAGAAAGAAACAGTCATTATAATAATATGATCTTTAACTTCGTTATAAAACATCGTTGCAGACCATCATGTTGGATGATCAGAGTTCTCACAGTTATTTTCTTCTGTACAGAAGTCCCAAAGCACGTGTTTTTTTTTTCTTTTTTTTATGGCTCGTGGGGTGGGACTAAGCCCCTTGTACTGCGGCCACTTCTGGCCTATTGTACCAGCCCCAGATGATGGATGAGGGTGATTGTGGAGCAATTGGTGGAATGAAGATTGGCAGGGGAAACCGAAGTACTCGGACAAAACCTGGCCAAGCGTCACTTTGTCCACCACAAATCCCACTTGACCAGACCCGGGATCGAACCCGGGCCGCCGCGGTGGGAAGCCAGCGACTAAGCTTGAGCTATGGCGCGTATGTCACACTTTATACAACAACATTTTTTAATGAAATATAAATGCTTTTGTTGTACATCGTTAACATGATACTGTTTATGTAATAACGCATAAAACGACGTCAGCTTTTGATTGGGACTTCTATGACGTTACAGTAGAAGACATAATTTCCTCGTACATTAGGAAAGCTGTCTTCAAGCAACAATTTACCGTCGCCACATTTTTTTTTTCAGTTAAAAACTACTGCCTTTGTTGCATTCATTGTTGGACCTGATTAACGTGAATGAAGATAGTGAGGGTCTAGAGCCGTTGATGTAGGTTCTGAAAGATTTGTAGTGTGGAATAAGAAAATAAAACCCGCTGGAACGAAACTTTAACAGAGGATGAATTGTACCGTACAACTAACCAGTTTGATGGATTTTTAGTGCCCGGGCTTTTGGACCTGGCCGTTCTCAACAAAATGCACTGTGACTCTAGTCGCATTCGGTAACTGAGTTAAGGATTGTACGGTATTGTTGGATCATAATAGGGCCTTTGTTATAGTGTGAGAAGCCGGCATAGCTCAGTCGGTACAGCGATATAAGGCTGTGGGCTGGGCAGTCGGAGTTAAGATTTCCCAGCAAGAGTAAAAAGATTATTCTCCTCTCCACAGTGTCCAGACCGGATATGGGTCCTGCCCAAAGTGTATCGGAGGCCTTATCCCTGGGGTTAAAGCGTCAGAGACGTGAAGCTGATCACTCACCTCCATATAGTACCGAGATCAGATGTTGGAGCTATACATTCACTCCTCATATTCCTTCATGGTGTGGTGCGTAGTTGCATAATTAAATACAGAGATAGCTTAACTTTACGTTAGTTACAGTGCGTCACCCTTGATCCTTTCCTTCCATAATACACTACCTCGATACTTCTTTCCGTACTTCTCACACACAACCCAAAGGCTAGGTCTGAAAGCAGAGCCTTTAGTCGTTCCTATTAATTTAACGGTTTTCACAGTTTCTAAGAAATGTCAGTAGGACGTACTCGTAAAAGTAAAGTAAATTATCAATGTGCTCAATTAATTAATCACTACACCATGAGAACGTTTGGGCGAGTGAATCTATGCATTCAAAGCACGTATATATCATGATTTATTCTAATAAATAAAATCAACAACTTGGTTATATGAGTTCTAAAATATTCTGTGAGAGAGGGTAGATTCGTGAATGGTGATACAGAATTACAAGTGTGATACGTTCGGAGTATTTCTAGAATTTTACGGTGTGTAATGTGTTTGTTGTTCTGCCCGTCTGTATGCGACAAATGGATATCAACACAAATTCGCATCTTCGTTTCTTTGAAAATCAGTTCACCCGCAGAGAATCGCATGTTGTTCCATTCTGGAAATAAAAAGAAAATTATTTATTAGCATCGTAAGTTCTGAGGTAAAATCGCAAAAACTGTAATTATGTCATTTAATTCTGATACGGAAGGACAAACAAACGTCTGCTCAGTGCTGATGTTCTGCAAGCGACTGACTGATATAATAAAAATGTAAAAGTTTACTAATTAAATAGGTTTCCTGTTAGTAAGATTTAAAAGTTCGTGACATTGGTATATACAATTATACATGTATATACAATTACTGACTTTCTAGGCCGATCACAGTACCCTTGCGGTGTAAGTCATGAACTGCCTTCGCCCTCAAACACTGGGGTCAGGGGTTTGAATTCCACTCGAGACATGGATATTTACGTTTATTCTATGTTTGTGATATCCTATGCAGGTAGTAGCCTTGCGACTGGCTGATACCCCGTCAAAGGAGTCGTGTCGACTGTCTTTAAGGCTAAGAAACTGAAGGGAAACGAAGGGTTTCACGGATGCCCTGTGCTCCAAGTGGGAGAACAGGAAATATGGAAGAACGAATTGACTTTTTGGACATTATTCATCGTCCTGTTTTTTATTTAAAACGTTTCGGAGACGGGGCTCTGCGTCCGTGCCTCAGGTAAAAAGCCTACTCAGTTGGGCCCAGTCGATAGAGCTTGTCCCCTCCGGCTGTATCGATTGGGCACAACTGAGAAGGCTTCTTCCCTGTGATAGCTGTTACCAGCTTTCGCAGGATTATGGTAACAAGATTACAATAATTACATTCAACTACTTGAGGATCTAGAGAAGCTGCGGGGGAACCCCATTCATTAAGTGGATAGAAATTGAAAGTACTCTCATTTGCTTAGGGCAAGAGATAATGATTCTCCTGTAATAGAAATTCCCTACTGTTGTGGAACTCGAAGGTTAATCACGCCAATGGACCCTGTAGCCAGTTCAGTCCAGTCCTCTATTATCACTCTCTACGTCTTTCAGATTAGTTTTACCATCTAAATATTCTGTCTAACTTTTGACTTACAATCCGGTTTTCCGACTAAATTGTTGTAGACCTGCGCACCTTTGCCTTCTAGATTTACTCATTCTAACACTGGACAATGACAGATTATCGAAATTTGCAGTTCTCTGGGGGCACACGGTAGCATAGTTGGTTGACGCACTGTGCTAAAAGTCAAAAGGTCCCGGGTTCGAGTTCAAATGAGGTGAATGTTTTCAATTTACCTAATTCTTCCAGCCGCACGATGGCCCTGGTGTCGACTCTAACAGAAATGAGTACTAGGAATCTTCCGGGGAAGGGGGGAAGGGCGGTCGGCGCGTAAGGCTGACAACCATACTGCCATCTGTGAGCCGATTCTCTAGAGAAAATGTGAGAGTCTCGACGTCTCACATCCCGATAGGCCTGCACGGCCTATCACAGGGATAGCTTTATCTTGCAGTTCGTTACAGAACAGAGCGCTCTGACCGTTCAAGCAATAGCCTTGAAATCGAAACGGTTTGTGCCTACTCAGTAGCGGGTAGAAGCAGAAGGAGGAGGAGGTGAGAAGAGGAGGGTCACCAGAAACGCAGGCGCACTTCTTGGGGAAGAGCAGTCTCCACCAGATGGCAAACCCATCTCAGAAGAAATTGATGCTCACACTTGTAATGGAAGATGACCTTACTGCAACAGCAGGCTGTGATGAGTTTGTGCTCTCGACACGAGTTGGCGTGGAGGAAAGAGCAGTCTGCGTAATTACACTGGTAGGGCAGTTCTGAAAGCGCAAGAAAAAATAATGTTATAGTTCACTCCGGCTGTTGCTTCTTGGAGGTCTAAAGCAAACAGTCTGTTCTGATAATACATTAGTTTACCTGTCTTCATAACTATCGAGATGAAAAGCGTCCGATTCAGTGTTCACCCCGCCATAATGCTTTCCATACCAACTTCTGAGGTTGCAACGTCAACAGCAAGACCACTGTAAGGTCTTGAAAGTTCGTGTGGCGATATATGATCATACTAACGCTGTCACCTTGTGATTAACTAGTTTGTTCCCTCAACCTAAAGGACATCTGAGGGGGCCTAGGAGGGAAGAATAACAGAAGACAGCAGAGAATTGTATAATAAGGAGTTTCATAATTTGTATTGCACCAGATATTATTATGGTGATTAAATCAAAGAGTATAATATGGTCGGAACATTTAGCACACATTGGAGCTGTGAGAAATTCGTACGTCATTTACGTTGGAAAACCTAATGGGAGATACTGCTTTGGAGCTGTAGGCATTGGTGGAAGGATATTATTGAAATGCATCTTAATGAAATCTGGCGTTAGTTGGATTCAACTGGATCATGATACGCTCCACTAGCAGGCTCGTCTGAACATGGTAATGAACAATCGGGTTCAATTTAAATTTAGGAAATGCCTTCACCACCTGACCGATTATCGGCTCCATACGAACTCTACTCCATGAAGTTGTCTGGTTGGTCAGTTACATGGTTTGCTTATTAGTGTAATTTAAGAACGCTCTCGCGTGTTGTAACAGCCTACAGTATAATCTGTGGAACTTAGAGGTACGTGCTACTAGTTTTAATTTGTTTTCACCTTACTAAGAAATACGAGAATATCTCAGTCGGTATAGCGACGGACTACGGGCTAGACGGGTGGGTTTCGATTTCCAGGATGGGGAAAAAATCCTACTCCGCAGCGCCCAGACCTACTCTGTGTCCCACCCAGCATCCTATACAATGGATACCAGGGGCTTTTCCCCCGGGGGGTAAAGCGGTCGTGGCGTGAAGCTGACGACTCAACATCTAGTGAAGACGTCAAAAATAGTGAAGCTATACATCCACTCCCCCATATGTATTCGTGGCGTAGTGCTTAATTACTTATTTGGTTAAATACAGGGACAACTTTACCTTTTACTAAGAAATGCGTGTATGTAACAAATCGCATTTTAGGGCTCTCATAAAAAGTTACCGTAGGGTCTGAGGCAGCAACACGCGTCGTGCAGAAGCTTGTCACTGCAGTAGCTGAAGACAGAGGAGTCGCAGAGCGGGCAGTCATAACGCCTGCGTTCCGCTGCAAAATAGGACACGATGACGAGTTAACATTTCAGTTTTGTTCAACTGATAAACACAAGATCTAAACGCGTATTCGATATGACTGTGTGTTCCAACTGCTGCCTTCCTTGCTAGTTTGCATTGTTTAAACGCTTTTGTCACCGTGGAAACTGACTCAAGCAGTAATGCGAGGTGGCTTGTGTTCAGCAAGTGCTTGTTCCAATCTCGGCAGGTATACCGACTATCCCGAATGAGGTTTTTTATGGTTTTTATCAGCTCATTCATGCCAATCGCAGAATAGTACCTCAGACCTCTTCCTTCTAAAACCTGTTAAAACCATTATATGCCAATGAACCTGTCATTCGACCCTATGTAGTCTGAAATACCGATAACACAATTAATAAACCATAAATAAATTCATTGTACTAGTATTATTTTTTCTTATTTCTAGGTTCTTTAACAACACTGTTTCAACTGCGGTGGTTATACTAGTATAACATCACTTGATGTGGGAAGTTGGCAAGGTCATGGAAGAATGCGATCGTGGCCTGTTCCGAGGTACTATCCCAGCATTCACATGGACAGACTGATGAAAGCCAAGAGAAACACTGGCGAAGATAACCGGTGTCCAGGTAAGTGGTAACATTCATTTACTATGGCTATGAGCTACACTTATTATTGACAAACAAAAGTTTTATTCGTTGACAGTAGTGAGATATACTGAGTGAGTGAGTGCATGTACGAGTATTAACATTTGCCTTATGTTGTGCGATGAACCCAGAGAAATGTGACATACGTTCAGTTTGATTTACATATAATGTAGGGTTAGACCACCTCTGTGGTCTAGTGGACAGAGTTCCTGCCTACAGATCCAGAGGTCCGGGGTTCGTTGCCCTGAAAGCGTAATAACTAATTGTAGTGACGACTAGTGAAGATCCAATAAACCGATTCACCAATCCAACCCCACGTCTTAGTCACACATGCACGTGACAACATGCTGTTGGACCACCTTTTGCCTTCAATACATCCGAAGTCTTCCTTGGAATGGACTCGTACAAGTTTCGAACAGTCTAGCAGAATTTTATACTGTTCTTCTTGAAGGACGTCTTCAGGTTACTTTAGAGATGTTGGAGGTGGGAATCTGTTCCTCACTCTTGTCTCCAAAACTGACCACGTTCAGTGATGTTGAAATCTGGTGATTGTGTTGGCCAGGGAAGATGCTGAAGTTCACTTTCATGCTCTTCAAACAATGACTGAGCAGTTACATCTGTGTGAATGTGGCACTGACGTCACAGAAAACTGCATCGTTGTTCGGAAATGGAATCTGGATCATTGGAATGCACCTGATTACCCAACCTGTCCTCCTGCTGTACTCCCTTACAGTAATTTGGCCATGAAGGGTAATAATGGGACCAACAGAATACTGTACCACAGAACTCTTTCCGTGCTTCACTGTTGGAACCAGGCATTCCGGACTGTGGGCTTCCTTGGGTGTTGCCGAAACGTAAACTCTTCCTGATGTAGGGAACAGCGCGAAGGACGACTCATCTGACCATATCACGCTCGCGTTTCCAGTTGTCTAATGTCCAGGTTTTATGGTCGTGCCCCCATCGTTTATGCATATGAGCATTACTTTCAGTAATCAGAGGTTTAGCAGTTGCAGCCCTACCGTGGATTTTGGACTTGTAAAGCTCACGTTAGATAGTTTTTGTGGAAATAAGGTCTTATCCTCTGTGCACACTTCGTGTAGAGAACATGCAAAACATTAAGATCCGCTGTACGTTGACACAGAACGAGGCATGAAGTAACCACAAGTTAACACGGAAAGGAACAAACAGGTTATGCATAGGCACGGAGCCAAGCGACCGCCAGAGTTCAGCGTCCTACCCCGCCCCCGAATAGCTGTTCTTACAAAGATTTGCAGCACCGCGACAACTCGGTTAAGTACGTGATGCTACACCTTGCCAGCTCCAAAGAGATTAAAAGATGTACTCCATATTCTTTCTTCGTGATACTCGTCTTTAGTGTTCGTTTATTGCAGATTGAAATCCGCTACTACAAAGCTAAATTATGTTGCATAGACCTATCCGTCTGTGACTCTACAGCCCTTTTGTTGGACCTTGGCCGCTTTTTCGGTTTCTTAATTCCATACACAGTCGTTAGGACACCTTAGACGGGGGATCAGCCCGTCGCAAGGCAGCTACCTACACACAAAACAATACAAACACAGAATAAACGCACAGACATCAATACCTTGAGTGGGATATCGAACCCAAGATCCCAGCGTTCGAGCGAGCGAAGACAGTTCATGCCTTAGACCGTACGGCCACTGTAATCGGCATTGCATAGACCTACAATACGGAATTATTTTGCCATGTATTTCTTTTCACACAACAGCGGGAATATTTTCAACTAAGAGTTTTAGATCTCAATTACGAACTAAATGAAATATATTTCATATTAAGCTGATAGTCACTCATCTAGTCAAGAAATTTCGTATCGTTTACTAAAATCAAACTTGCATTATCATTTTCACGAGAATTATTCGCACGTTCCTCTTGTAAGCCAGACGAATAGAGTCCACACCCTCGTATCTTATTTTTTTAAAAATCATTTGAACACCATCCTTCAATCTACACCCACGCTTTCAGAGTGGTTACTTTCTTTAGTAACCACTCGGTATGAGACATCATATATATGAGATCGTAGAAAACTGATTTATTTACTTTCATAAAAACAGGTAGCCTCACACGTTGCAATATATGATATGCTAATATTAATAAACACATGGAGTACTTACATGTTAATGAAGCAGTGGTTCGAGGTTCGGCAGAGACAACACAGATGGCGAACAAAGACACGCTTAGAAATAATACAGTGGTGCTTGGATGTCGAGTCATGATCAGTATACCAAAAACACTGTAAGCATAGATCTGTTACAGTTTTTGCAGAGCGTGTGAACTTCAATGTAGAAGTGGAGATGGTTCAGGAGAGACTGCCTGGTCATGTCTTCTAAGTCCGTTCTACGCAGGCAGTCCTGTTTAGCTCAAAGACATATTCACGTTGCATGTTGACGGGTCTGCGTGTGTGTGTATACGTGTATAACAGTGCTCGGCCGGACTGTTTTTCACTTCCATAGTCGCCTTAATCATCTGCAATTTACACCTCGCAAGATACATTTTTCTGTAACCTCTTTTTCGAGATAATTCGTTTCCAAAAAATAACACGTAACTCTGATGACATAGGCCTTGATGTGGCATTAGTTTTGTATCACTGAAGATACGGTATAATGATGCTTTATAGACTGAACACGGAGCTTACGAAAACTTCGGTTATTTAGCTACGCTGTTTTAACTATTTGGGTTATGTAGCGTAGAATGGTCGGATGGCTATGTTAAATTGTAAAGAATGTGGCCTAAGAACTGCCCCATCGTTTCCCTGTATGGAATGAAGCATTGCATCAGAATACCTGTCAGAATTGCCAGTCTCCAGATCGAAATTCGAACCGAAGATCCACCTCATACGAATCAAGTGTTTAAGGCCGCGCCATATCTCAAGCGTTTAGTCGCTGGCTTCCCATCGCGGCGGCCCGGGTTCGATCCCGGGTCTGGTCAAGTGGGATTTGTGGTGGACAAAGTGGCGCTGGGGCAGGTTTTCTCCGAGTACTTCGGTTTCCCCTGCCAATCTTCATTCCACCAATTGCTCCACAATCACACTCACCTGTCTTCTGGGCCTGGTACAACAGGCCAGAAGTGGCCGCAGTACAAGGGACGTAATCCCACCCCACTAGCAACAAAAGAAATCAAGTGTTTAACGTATGAATATATTTGGTGATTGTCAGAATTCTGGATATTTCTAGAATTATGTTGGACTAGAAACAGGCCGCTTGTACGCCTCCTATGATACATTTGCGCTGGTTTGTTTTCATAACCAAAGCAGGCTATGAACAATGTTTTTCTACTCCAAAATTCATGTGAATAGTACTTAAAAGTTTCTTTCGCACTTCCAAGAAACCGCTAAGCATCTTCGTTGTTTATGTCATTCTGTTAATGACGTTTAAAGAAATGGTTGTTCATATGTAGGATGTGAGGTTCTTACAGCAGTGATTATATATTTATAACACTGTGTAGCCCATTGAAAGTCAACCGACGTTTCGAAGGCACATATTGCTGTTCATAACTTCTGTAGCTGCCCTTCATATGTGTAGACTATCTGCATTATCCGCAACCTGAGGACGCGCCATGCCATGGTGACAAGAGACCCAGTTAACATGGTACTTGCTGTAACAATTTCTGTATATACTGTAGCATGTAGACTCGTTGCTAAGCTGTGACTCTGTAAACAGCGACCGTTTCTGGGCAACGGCTCGGTAAACACGTTCCCGTTGCTAGGCAGCAGATTCTTAATAATGCAACGGTTGGACGAAACAATAGAATTGTTTTCTGTGTGGTCCGTGCCGAGATGTTATACACAAGGGACAAAGTTAGTTGTTAGTTCACCCGTGTCGAGGCGGGGTCGAATACCTCCACCGTTACCCTGCGAGTCGTAGGAGACAGTAAAATATGGTCTCGAGTCCCAACAGACTCGAACCCGAAAAAGACCGCGCTAGCAAGGGCCAGCAGCATGTGCGAAAGACAGAACCGTCCTCTCGTCAGAGAGGGCGTCCCACAAAAATAAGACCGTAACCGTCAAATAGTAGTAATTAATACGTATCTGGTCATGAGCCCCATTACTGACTGACTGACCGTCAATCGCAATGTAACTTTGACTGTGAGTTATTAGTTGAGTTCTGCACGGGAGGCTGTGAAGAGTGGACCTGAGCGCGTGAAGCTTAAGAATCTCCACAGTTAGAAGCCGCTGTCAGGGAACGGCTGGTGAAGATACAGCAAGCTGGATGCTGTGGTGATATGTAAATTTTGGAGATTAGCGGTGGCGCTGTAATTGCCTATAGTTCGAGTCGTGTGTATAAGTGTTCAATAAATTTATTCTCCCATACAAACCCCATCTATAGTCACACATACTACGTGATATACATATACATCGGAAAACACAATAAGTCCACAATTCACTTATCACCACAGCATCCAGCCTGCTGTATCTTCACCAGCCGTTCCTTGGTAGCGGCTTCTAAACGTATATATATTAAAGCTAAAGCCACACCTGTAACAGGCCGGGGAGGCCCATAGGGTTCTGATACGTCGAAGCTCCCACATTTTCTAGGCAGTCGGCTCACAGACGCGGTGAGGTTGTCAGCCTTACGCACCGTCCGCCCTTTACCCCCAGGAAGTTTCCTGGTATTCATTTCTGTTATTGGTTAAGTCGACCCCAGGGCCACAGCGCGTCTGGAAGGTTTAGGTAACTGAAAAATCCAATGACATCGCGAATCGAACCCGCGACCTTAACAGTGAAACACCTCAGAGTATCCTTACAGTTTGCAAACAATGTTCAAAATGTTAGTCTTCATGAAGAAAGTTACAACTCTGATAAAACCAGTACAGAACACGAAACAAACATTAGCATTACCTAACTTGTCCAGGCAAACATCATTATCTTCGGAAATAACATACAGTTGCGTAAGAGTATGCCTACATGTTGGGCGGAAGTGACGGCACTCTTGTCGTGTAATGATCGTGCAGCTCATTTTATTTATTAATACAGTATATATGCATAAGTACCGCTTTGATTGCATTCAATTGACACAGTACGCTGCATTTACAATAGGAAGTTTGTTTTCCACTCCATATAATTTTCAGCGGATTAAGATTAAACCTTACAATCTGGTTTGTAATTCGGAGGATTATGTCACGTTATTACTTATGCGTCCATGTTTAATATTTTAATACACTCTTTATTAATAATAGTAGTGGACATATTTATATACAAAAATAATGGTCGTCTAGTTTGTAGAAACTTAAAAACTGTAATTAATTAATCTATAATATATCCTGTTTATACGAAGGTTTTTACATTACAGCAAAGTATGGAAGACACTATTTGGAACCGAGAGACTTGGAAAAACTGGGAACGGAAAAATCTACATAATTTAGAATGAAGTTCATAGTATCTACTGTGTACATAAAACTATGCTACAAACCATGTAGTTTCTCCAGGTCTCTAGATTCGAATATTATCAGCAAAACCGTATGCTGAAACATCTGAGATTTTTCTTCCTCCTCCTGAATTCTGAATTTCATCTAGACATCGGGCAAAACAGCATTAACGCAGCGCTGCTTAAGTAACCACTGTTCTGTTGGTGCATCTCTGGAATGCGTTATTGTGTCTGTGAGATCCACTCATCTTTGGCAACACAGTTTATTGTAGGACTAAGAGAACACACACGGAACAGAGCAGGTACATCCTCCACGATAACGTTGGTAGACTTGCCTGTGATTTCCCTATGAACACACAAAACTTTATCTCAGTCGGATATATAGCCATGTTCAACTATGCTACACTTACTTTGATGAGAGGACATTAATTACAAATGTTCCGAGAATAAGCTGTAAACCAACACAGAGAACAAGGTGGTGGGAGAAGACTGCATAACCATATGGAGATCCTCTTATACGTATATTCTGATAAAATGTTGAATATATTAACTATGTGGGAAGTCAGATACATTGGTGATAGTTGTGACGAAGGATATTTGGAAAGTAAAGAGACAAAGCCCAGAAAATGTTTGTAAAACATTTTGGGGGGCATTCACTTGTAGCTCTTTTACAACGCAACTTTATTTACTTTTCAACATAGTCACCATGGATGGCATTGCACTTATTGATCCTGGGAACGAGTTTTTCTGTTCAAGCGTTGTAGAAATCTCCTGCCTGCTCTCTTAGACTTGGAGAACAGTTCTTGACACTCCTGGACATTTTTGATGAAGTTCATCGATGGTTAAACGTCTGTCAGCACGAAAGTTTTCGTCAATTTTTTGGATGATTTAACCAGTGACAACGGATGGCCTTAATTACTTACTTATGGAGCTGGGCCCTTCTTGAGGAGAAGCCAAATCTGCGGCTACTCAAGAATTCCCAGCATTTTATGGAACCCGAAGGTTCATTACCGTGTTCACAAGAGCCCTCCACTGATCCCTATCCTGAGTCAGATCAATCCAACCCATACCATCCCATCCTGTCTCTCTAAGGTCCATTCTATTACTGTCCACCCACCTACGCCATGGTCTTCCCAGTGGTCTTTTACCTTCCGGCTTTCCCACCAGTATCCTACATGCATTCCTCGTCTCCCCCATTCGTGCTACATGGCCTGCCCACCTCATCCTCCTTGACTTGATTAAGAAATGTAAAAAATTGCACTTTCAGGAATGTCCAAGTCACCAAAAGAAATGTAAATAATATTTATTTACGGATTAGAATGAAGATGATACAAAATGACTGTTAAACTTAATGCTGTGTTCCACACACCTCTGAGTGAATTCCAATGTCGTGAGTTTTTTCTACACTACTTGGACTAAAGATGAAGGTATCAGAATGTGTCTTGTCATTACAAGACAACACAGGGTATCGACCAGGAACACCCACACGACGAACGGGTTTCGATTAGCTTGCGCCAAAGTCGTTTTAGTATATTATATTATAACAATAAAATCTTTGATATGCGATCGTGTTTGACACTGCTCAGTATTTAGAATGCTATCTAGAGTCGTAGGAGCCGGCGTAGAGCAGACGGTATAGCGACTAGCTACCGGCTGGACGACTGAGGGGTCGGTATTCGAGTCCCGGTAAGGTCAAGAATTTTCTCTTCCCCAAATCGTCCAGACCGGGTCTGAGGTCCACCCAACCTCCTATCCAATGGGATAGTGTTGAGGTCAAGAAAATGTGGATCTATACATCCATTCTCACATACGCCTTCATGGCGTAGTGCTTAATTCGTTGACTACAGGGACAACTTTACCTTTGCCTTTATCTAGAGTCCTAGTCTTTTAAGTTTAGACCAATTCATAATACTTCTTTCAGAAACCTTGTCCTACAAGGCCGCGCCATAGCTCAAGCGGTTATTCGCTGGCTTCCCACCCCGGCGGCCGGGGTTCCAGCCCGGGGTCTGGTCAAGTGGGATTTCTGGTGGACAAAGTGGCGCTGGGACAGGTTTTCTCCGAATACTTTGGTTTCCCCTGCCAATCTTCATTCTACCAAATTCACCACAATCATAATCACCCGGGGCAAGTACAATAGGCCAATCAGTGGCCGCCGTGCCGAGTGGACCCAGCTGGACTCCACACCCCACTATGCGAACCTTGCCCTACATAACCATTTGACTAGCAATTATTGATTCATATTAGAACTTAATCTATGCATCAGTATCAATCAATATCATGTTTGCCGGAACACCTTGGTTCTGAAAGCTTAAATTGAAGACAAGATTTATATTGCACATCATCTGTACACACTACACTGAGTACTTTTGTCAGTAGGCAAATATTAAAATAAATAGCTATTGATGTACTGAATATTATATATTTATTATTTATTATTCCACAGAGTAATTTGCGTGTCCGTTTAAACGTGCAGTCAGTTTTTTAAAGATATTTGGAGGGAGAAAAGTGCTATTTCGGGCACATACAGTAATTGAGAATCGCATTTACAAGGAGAACGGCTCAGAAACAGAAGCCGGACTTTCCTTTGTGTTGTTTAAGGGAAAACAGGAGCAGTCAAACTTTGATAAGACAAGTTTACACCACCGCGTGACATGTAGACTGGTCTGTTGGTGGATATGGCACGGCTAAGCAAGCAAACAAGTTTGCTTGTTAGCCGATTAGTTTACCTTTACTAGCCAGCTTATTGTACTCACATTTTGTGGCCGTAATGTAGTCGCAACAGCAGACTCTGAGCCTCGCGTACTCGGCGCAATTCCCGGCAATCGGCCTGCAGCCAGGCCGCAGGTAGCAGGTGTGAGGAACGTAGGGGAACCACTCTGCAACAGATCAGCAGCCCTCATGGTCTGGTGTGTCATGCCACGTGTTGACGCTGGATATTCCATCCCTGCCGGGCCTTCCCAAGACCGATGCAGGCTCGCATTCTGCTTCACCTACCTTGATCACTTGGCCAGGCCACCTCTCGAAACATTGGAATATGTGAAACCTTCTCCAGTCTGCTCAGGCAGTAAGCGTGATATTCATTGGGTGGTTCCTTGTATTTGCTTTTATACAAAGCCCGTCACGGTAGCCGAGCAGTCTACGGCATGTACCGTCTTCGCTTGCTCCGTAGCCGGGATCTTGGGTTCGAATCGCACACAAGGCATGGATATCTGGTATATATACTGTACCGTATATATGTGTGTGTGTTTATTTTGTGTTTGTTGTCCTGTGTTTAGGTAGAGGCTTGCGACGGGCTGATGACTCGTCCAAGGAGTCCTACAGTCTGTAAAATGATCAAAATTAAAAAAAAAAATCTCGCGTAAAGTATAAGACAAACGGTTTAAAAAGTAGGTAAGATTTTATATAGTTAGTACATCTGGAAGCCGATCACAGTGGCCGCACGAACGGTCTTCAGCCACCTGAACACTGGGGTAGTTGGTTCGAATCCATAAGAGGCATGGATATCTGTGTGCGTTTATTTTGTCTGTGTTGTCCTGTGTGTAGGTAGCAGCCTTGCGACGGTCTGATCCCCCGTCCAAGGAGTCCTACCGACTGTGTGTAAGGATTACGAATCTGAGAAAGCGGCCAAAGCACGACAAAGGACGTAGAGCCATTGATGAATTAATGAGTACGGCAGGAAAGGGAGCTGGGATAGCGTAATCGGTATAGAGACTGGCAACGGGCTGGACGGCCGAGGGATACGGAGTTCGAGTCCAGGTGGGGGCAAGTTTTTCTCTTCCTCACGTCATGCAGACCGGCTTTGGGGCCCATCCAGCCTCCTGCCCAATGGGTACCGGAGGCTCTTTCCTCGGGTGTAAAGCGACCGAGGTGTGAAGCTGACCACTCACCTCCAACTAGTGCCGAGGTCAACAATACATGGATCTATGCATACACTCCCCCATACATCTTCATGGCATAGTGCTTAATCAGTTAAGCACAGGGACAACTTTACCTTAGTATATCGGGAAATGAATCATATCGAAATTCGGTAATTCTTTGCTGGAATGTCTCCGCTGTGGTTCCCTTCACGGCCTGGTTCACCTCAAACAGTTGAAACTTTACAAATTATTCTCTTGTGGAAGTAGCTCTGTCGATTGGGCCGCGCCATAGCTCAAGCGGTTAGTCGCTGGCTTCCCACCGCAGCGGCCTGCGTTCAAACCCGGGTCTGGTCAAGTGGGATTTGTAGTGGACAGAGTGGCGCTGGGGTAGGTTTTCTCCGAGTACTTCGGTTTCCCCTGCCAATCTTCATTCCACCAAGTTCTCCATCATCATAATCACCCGGAGCAGGCTACAATAGGCCTATCAGTGGCCGCCGTGCCGAGTGAACCCAGTTGGACTCCACCCCCCACTAAACGAATTAAAAAAATGAAAACTGTGTCAATTTGAAAATACTGAAGTTTATATGAATGGTGGAATTGCAAGTGTCATTCCGAAAGTGTCATTTTTTATATATAAAAAAAGATAACTTCTTGTGAATATAACTTAAAATAAAACCGACACAAGTAGATTCCTCTCTAACCCCTGAAAGCACACTGCATACATCCACAGACTTCGCGATGTGAGTAACGCCAGTGTTGAAAGCAAAGTGCATTTCACAAAGACTCATTCACTCACTCACGGAGCTGAGCCCATCTTGACAAGTTACCAATTGTGCAGCTACTCAAGAACTTCCCAGCATTTTATGGAACCCGAAGGTTCATTTCCGTGTTCAAAAGAGCCCTCCAGCGGTCCATATCCTGAGCCAGATCAATCCAGTCCATACCATCCCATCCTATCTTTATGAGATCCATTATTATATTCTCCACCCACCTACGCCTTGGTCTTCCCAGTGGCCTCCTTCCTTCCGGCTTTCCAACCAATGTCCTATATGCATTTCGCCTCTCTCGCATTCGTGCTACACACCCTGCCCATCTCATCCTCCTTGACTTGAGCATTCTAATTATACTTGGAGAAGCGTACAAGTTATGAAGCTCCTCATTATGCAGTTTTATTTCAGAAAGAGTAGATATTAATAGTCTCTAGTCTTAAAAGAAATTAACCGGTTCGACAGAATATACGGCACAAACTTCTTGCTATAAAGACGACCAAGAGGAAGAAGAAGGAGAAGCAACAGAGATGATTTTGAGACAGAGATGGACGTTGAAATCTCTAAACCATAAAGACTGGCTAAGTCATGCTTGGAGCTCCCTGCCCGCCCCCCCCCCTTCCGTTCTCACATGTCGGAAGACGAGTAATTCTGAGAGAATGATTTCATTACAAATGAATTCACTGTTATGAGTGGCGCACACGTGTTCCTTCGTTACACTCGCGTAGAGGTGAAGCTAAGAGTGGCAAAAGGCAATCTTGTATCTGTCTTTACTTACGCACCACGCCACGAAGACGTATGAGGGAGTTTAGCTATAGCTCCAAACAAATAAGAAAGAACTCCGTGGCCTGTAGCCCGCAAACGAACTATACCGACTACACTACCGCCGCTTGTCGGCGAAGTTAGTACCAACTTTAGCGGACAGAGGTCGCGTGGTCAGTGCAACGCATCCCCACGGCCGCTAATTTAGGTTTTCTAGACCGGAGCCGCTATTTCCTTGAAACAGCTCCTCAACTATCCTCACGAGGCTGAGTGGACCCCGTTCCAGACCCACTACTTCACAGAAGAAGCCGGGAATCGAACCCGGGACCTCTGGATCTGTAGCCAGGAACTCTGACCACTAGACTACAGAGGCGATAGAACTATAGCTCCACCATTCTTAATTTCCGTACTGTTGGACGTGGTCAGCTTCACGCCCCGAACTTTAATACCGGGGGGAAACGTCCAACAGGATAGGAGCTAGGTGGGCCCCAGAGCCGGCTTGTATACTTAAGAGCACCCTACCGGGAATCGAACTTCGTTCGCCCAGCCTCTAACCTTGTTACTGCATTGACTAAGATATATAACCTGACTCCGGATTGGACTAATTGAGATGAAGAACAGACGAGCATATTCTAGTTTGCAGTACAAAGAGTTTCCGGATGTGATCTTCGTGATTTTGCGTTCTTCGTTTGTCGGCGTTAAGCAGTTCACGTACAGTCGCGGTGTTTATTTCTGCTTCCTTCTAAAAGCACTGAACTTCATGATCGGGTTGAAGGCTACCATAAATTGTCACGTCACCACTTTGTTGCTTGCGCATTGTTTTTTGTACTTGGATTTATTGGAACTGTCCAAGTTCATTCTCTCCAAGCGATCTGGCCACTCACACTGCAAGCACATATGTAGTGATATCAACGTTAATTAACAATGCACGTACTTAAATGCACACAAGAAATAATTTATTCTTAGTACTTCATTATATCTGCATATCGAAGAAAAGTAATCTCCATTAAAATTATAGATTTTAATGAGACCTGTATTTTTAATCTACAGTGAAGTCCGCGTGGGTACATATATGTAAGATACGTTTGCTGTTAAGAAGGGTTTGAAACAAGGAAATGCTTTAACGCCATTGCTTTTCAGCTTTAATTTAGAATATGTCCTTAGCAAGGCCCAAGAAACCTGGGAAGCACTGCAGCTGATTGGAACGCATCAGTTTTTTATCTATATTGGTACAGTTAATTCATTCGTGGAAAATATAAATACCATAAAAACAGAGACGCTAAATTAGATGCTAGTAAGACGGTTGGTGTAGAAGTAAAAACAGAGAAAGATTAAGTACTGATTGATGTCTCATCACCAGAATGCAAGGCAAAATCATAACAAGAAAGGTAGCTAATAGATCATTTGAAAATGTAACAAGTTCAAATACCGTATTCGGAAACAAGACTACCAAATAAAAATTACATTCACGAAGACACTGAGATCATATTAAATTCGAAGAATGCCTGATGTTATGAGATGGGAAGTTTTCGTATTCATATCCGCTGTCCAAACGCGTAAAAATTAAAATATATGGAACTATAATTTTTCCTGTGGTTTTGTATGCATGTGAAAGTAAGAACAGAGTACAAAGGAGAATGTTTGGACTTTAGTGGGGTCAAGTAACAGGAGTTTGAGGCAAACTGCATAAGAGAAGCTTCATAATTTCACCCCAGGATGAGCACATCGAGAGGGACAGCGCACGTGGCACATGGGAGAAGTGTATACAAGTGCTGGAAGGAGAACCCGAAATCACCAGGACGACGAGGGAGTAGATGGAGGATAATATTACAGATTCGCTTAAAGAAACAGGATGGAGGTATGAGGACTTGATTCAACTGGCTCAGCATGGAGACTACTGTCGGGCTCCGGTGGACATGGTAATGAGCCTTGGGGTTCCATATAATGCTGGCGATTCTTGTGCATCTGAACAACTGTTTCCTTCTCAAGTCGGACTCAGCTGTTTCAAGTAATTTATTCTCTTTTATGTGTACATTTATTTTACGTCTTCTAATGGAACTGGTTAAGTCCTATACAACTTCTTCACAACACAACTATTTCAAGGTCAGTGTTTGAGCTTCATGTAAAGGAGGCGTCATGATTAACAGACATGCACAACACCGCTCCATTACCGAACAAACTCCGTGGTTTTAGTCCGCAAGCGAAATATACCGACCGAGCGACAGCCGTTTGTCGGCGAAGTTAGTGCCTGATCAGCGCTACGAATCCTCACTGCCATTAATTTCGGTTTTCTAGACCGGAGCCGCTATTTCCTTGAAATAGGCCCTCAATTATCCTGACGAGGCTGAGTGGACTCCGTTCCAGACCCACTACTTATCAGAAAATCTGGTAGCGCCTGGAATCGAACCCGGGACCTCTGTATCTGTAGCCAGGAACTCTGACCACTAGACCACAGAGGCGGTCAGCTACAGTACCGAACTGTACCGATATCCGATGGGTAATTTTGGATTACGAAGTGTGTGAGGGTCGCAAGACTTGACGTCCTGTGAAATGTTCATTTTACGTACGTCCTATCGCGAACACACGTGCACTTCCGTGTGGGGAATGGATTTCTGTTGTGTTGGAATTCTGATGCGTTCTGAGTGCTATAATGAGCCAGAACTGCAGTGATCTGTTGGCGAGTTCTTTGAACCCTTCGCTTCGTCTGTAGCGTGTTGTTCCACACCTGCTTTCGAATGAAACACATGACGGGTGTCACATAGCATTCACACTGCGGCATAACATTGCCTTGTTCACGACTCATTTGAATCCTACACGCTGTGACCACGAGAGGCATTGTAGGAATCCCGATAGCAGGGACAGCACGAAGGGCCATGCAAGGTAACGAAGCTGCATGGCAGCTGGCCAGTACTGGGTATGCACACAGATTCTCACCAAACGTGCTTGTAATGTCTAATAGTTTTCGTGGCTTCCCTTCGTTCCTCAAGGCCTGTAAGAGTACAGAATAATTTGAAAAAGAGGGGGAGTCGCTGCAAAAATACCGTAATGGCAATATCTGTTTTGTGACAAAATATTTTGAGGTAAGTAAAAGTTGACTCAGAGAGATAGGATGGGATGGTATGGACTGGATTGATCTGGCTCAAGATAGGGACCGCTGGAGGGCTCTTGTGAACACGGCAGTAATCCTTCGGTTTCCATAAATTGCTGGGAAGTTCTTGCGTAGCTGCACAATTGGCGGCTTCTCAAGAAGGGCTCAGCTCCATGAGTGATTCAAGTAAAAGTTGTCCTTGTGCTTAATTAATTATGAAATTAAGCACTACGTCACGAAGACATATGGGGGAGTGGAGGTATAGCTCTACCATTCCTGACCTCGGCACTATATGTAGGTGAGTGGTCAGATCCACGCCCCAGCAGCTTTAACCCTGGAGAAAGAACTCCCGAACCCACTGGATAGGAGGCTCGGTGGTTCCCAGTGCTGATCTGGACGCTCTAGAGGGGAGAAAAGTCTCTTGTACCTTCTGGGAACCGAACCGCGGCCGTCCAGCCCTTAACCCGTTGCTATACCAACTGGACAGAAAGCTATAGTACTAGTGATGGAGCTCCATTTGTTTATTTTAGGAAAGAAGTGTTCCACTTACATCAGTCTTTTCGGATTCGTTCCTGGCCTGTGTAAAATCAGAGTTAACTTCTTAAACTATGGCCAGTATCCGACTTTTGTTTAGGACTCTTGAACAGAGGATCAGCTCATCGAAAGGCCTCGATCTATGCAGGACAATACGGACACAGAAAAACGGGGACATAGACCCATGGCTCGAGTGGGATTCTAGCTCCTCGACGTAAGTATTCCAGCGACCGAAGACAGGAAGCGCTTTTAGATCGTGAGAGCATTGGGATTAGCTCAGTTACATCGTTACAGTTACATCAGTGCATTTAGACTAGCATATGTTCTTGGCAGTACAGGAATGACTTCTGAACCGACTAAGGTTTAGTGCTGCAAGGGTCAGCACGCCAAACATTGTCTCACACGACAGGAAAGAGCACAACCAAAGGAGTGAACGCATGCACACATACACATACACGATACATAATACATACTGTGAAATAGATATATGTGTATATATATATATATCGTCGAATTATGTGATTATTAATTAACGCCCAACTGAAAGGGTGTGAAAGGTCAAGATTACGGCCTGATTTGAGGAACTGCCCCGGAATTTGCCTTGGAAGACGATCAGTTTTCTGAAAACAACACACACCATATACAGACTGCACAGTGATATAAAATATTAACATATACATCGAAACGTTTTCCTTGAAGCAACATTTTTTGGTGTGGTGAATATTTAACTAAATACAGGATAAAATTCTCTGATTCTGCAATATGATATTCGTATCAAGACCAACTCTGAAATAATAGCTTACATTAAAGCCAATAACTAAATTAACAGATTGCATGGAGTTGAGTCCTTCTTTGAGATTTGCCACCAGGTGTTCAGTTACTCAAGAATTTACCCACATTTTATGTAACCCAGAGTTTCATTACCGTGTTCACAAGAGCCCGTCACTGATTTTTGTCCTAAGACAGATTAATTCAGTCCCTTCCACCCCATCCTAGTTCTCTTAAGATCCATTTTAACATTGTCCTGTCGCCTACGTGTGGGTAGTGTTCTTCTTCCTTCTGAATTTCCTACAAAAACTCTGTTTCATTCCTCTTCGCTTCTATGTGTGCTACTTGTCATGCCCATCTTACCCTCCTTGGCTTTATCATTGTAACTACTATTTAACGAAAAATAAAAGCTATGAACCCGATCACAGTGGCCGCGCGGTCTGAGGCATGAACTGTCTTCTCCAGCTCAGACAGTGGGGTCGTGGGTTCGAATCCTACTCGAGGCATGGATGTATGTCCACGTTTATTCTGTGTCTGTGTTGTCCTGTGTAGGTAACGGCCGTGCGACAGGCTTATCCCCCGACCAATGAGTGCTACCGAGTGTGTAAAAAGATTAAGAAACTGAAAAAGCGGCCAAGGTCCAACAAAGGGCTGTAAAGCCACAGAAGAATGAATGAATGACAAGTTATGAAGTTCCTCATTATGCAGTTTTCTCAAGCCTCTATGAAGAACACCAAAGAATGTATCTGGAGAAGATGTGTACTCCACTGATGTGCAACTTCACACACAGGACAGAGAAAGTTTGCTTTGTGCCAGGTGCCGTAATGCATGCAACACATCTGGCTGTAATTACCGGAGTGTCGCATATCGCAGCAGCAGTGGTCCTCGAGGACTGCTGTGCCAGCGCAGTACTGGATCTCCTCGGCCGTGCATACTTCACATCCTGGACCCCTCTCATCTGCAAACAGTGACACAGTCGCTGGTCGTTAAAGGCTTGCAGTCCACCAACGTCTGGGTCACTTGACTACCCTTGGCAACATGTCGCAGCCGACTATGAGGCTCAACCTAACTTTTGTCCAACAGGTACTGGAGAAGGCTTTTCTCCAGGGTAAAACAGCCAGAGAATGAACCTAAACGCTCACCTCCATAGCATCCGAGATTACTTTATCTCCACGCCTCCTATGCGCATCCAACGGCATGACTTTCATACAAACCCATGAAATTTCAATTGCTCCTTAAGTTATATGGTAAGGAAAGAAATACGAATAGACAAAGCACGTTTGTCTAGCAGCAAACTTCTACAATTGTACAGGGGAGATGTTCAGCTCCTGACTGAGGTTTTCTTTTTGTTTGTTTTCCCTAGTCTTTCCGGCAAATCCTAGGATAGTATACCTCTGTTTGGTCACGACCGCTTCCTGCCTTGTTTGTTCCAATTCATTATTTATCATTCACCCTACAGCCCAACGCTATATAAACTAGACAGTGGAACAGTCATAATATAACCCACAACAAAATGAAAGAAACCACTGTCGTTAATCATAATTTGTTGAGGTAAATGTAAGGATTTTTTTCGAAAGAGAACAAATATTCTTTGCTGCACGAAATATTTAATTTTTCAGAAGAACAGGACGAGAGAAAGAGAGAGCCTGGAAAGAAACGCAGTTTTAGTTTTCCGGTCGAGTAGAATTCGTGCTGAGGAAAGCGGATCTTTTGGTTCCGGTCTATATGTACGCCCTTCCAGTCTAGCGAATAATTTCCACATGGAGAATCACAGCAGTAAACTGATTCTAATTGCAATGAATCACCATTCTTCATCCTGTAAGGTTGTTTTATCCACAGCGCGGGCCATGTGAAATACAGTCAGAATTTGCTATCAGTAACCGTAGACTGGAGGATTATAGTAAAATGAACCTTAAAGAAGAAATGAATTAGGGAGTGGACTTGATAAAACTGACTCTATAAAGGGTACAGTGGTGGGTTGAGTAACAGGTCAAGGATTTCCTAAACACTTCTTCTACATAGCAAGGATTAGGCTCAAGCCTCTTTCTGAGGTTATTTATTTTCACTAATCTTCTCCTAGGCCTTACTTGCTCACGCCTTCCAGCAGGGTTATAGTACATGCTTGCTTGCCATGATAAACATGAAGAGGTCATTCTTTGTAAATATGCCTTCCAGTATCTTTTGTACTGATAAATTTCTTCTATATTTTCTGCTATCAAAGGTTCTCCTATATTATCACTGTAATTCTGTCCTTCAGTGTAAGTCCTAACATTGATTTCAGAACTCTTTCTAATGATCATATCATGTCAATTTGTAAAATTGAACTATAAAAGCCGGAAGTCCTTGCGAGTGATTTACAGTGTCCCTGTACTTCAACAACTCATAAATTTTCCGTGAGACTTGTGGTTATATATTATCACGCATTGGAGTGACTATAAACTGTTTTTGGATTGGTAATCGGATTGAGTGCACACTTATACACACAACACACAACACACAACTACAAACTATAGCTGTCTCGCTAATTCACACACTCTGCAGTTCACTACAACACACGCTTAAATCCTCTTATTCTATTGTGTCTTTACCAGTCGTTGCCTGCTCACGGATCCCAACAATGTCATCTGCTTCCGTGCACACGTTCTTGCCGCCTGGCGACTGTCCCACAACTAACTCATTGAGTCTGAGTCTCATTTTACGACCGACGGTCAGTCGGCCAGTCTGTCTTGGCATAAACCACCCATCTGTTGCTTGCGACCGGATCTTTATTACTGTTTGACAGTTACGGTCTTGTTTTTTGTGGGCTCTCTCTCTCTCACAAGAAGACGGGTCTGTCTTTTGTATATGCTGCTGGTCCTTGCCAGCGCAGTCTTTCTCGGGTCCGAGACCCTTGGTACTCGAGACCATATATTACTGTCTCAAATTTGAAACTTCCCTTTCCGTCGCCTCCTACGACTCGCAGGGTCACGGTGGAGGTATTCGACCCCGCCTGCACACGGGTGTAAGTCCAAGTCACAATGCGACTGGCGGTCAGTCAGTCAGTAAGTCTTGGTGTCGAGTTCCATCTGGGGCTCATGACCAGATATTTATTACTGTTTGGCATTTACGGTCTTGTTTTTGTGGGGCGCCCTCTTTGACGAGAGGACGGGTCTGTCTTTTGTATATGCTGCTGGCCCTTGCCAGTGTAGTCTTTCTCGGGTCTGAGTCCCTTGGGATTCGAGACCTTATTTTACTGTGTAACTCATTGTCAAAGTCAAAGTCACATTGCGACTGACGGTCGGTCAGTCAGTCAGTAAGTCTTGGTGTCGAGCCCCATGTGGGGCTCATGACCAGATATTTATTACTGTTTGACAGTTACGGTCTTGATTTTGTGTGGCGCCCTCTCTGACGAGAGGACGGGTCTGTCTTTTGTGTACGCTGCTGGCCCTTGCCAGCGCAGTCTTTCTTAGGTCCGAGTCCCTTGGGACTTGTGACCATATTTTACTGTCTCAGAATTGATACTTACCTTTTCGTCGCCTCTTACGACTCGCAGGGTCACGGTGGAGGTATTCGACCCCGCCTCCACACCTCCAACTGTTCTGCTTATAACATCGGCACGGACCGCACAGAAAACACCTCTTCCCACAGTTATTCTATTATTGCATCTTGTAGCGATCGCACGGGCCGCGTAGAGAACACCGCTTCGTAGTTACTCCATTGTTGCATGTCACGAATCTGTTGCCTAGCAACGGGCATGTTTGCAGAGCCGTTCCCTAGCAATGGATCTCTCTGCTGGCTTCACAGTTCTTGTCTTGTACAAACATGCCACAATACATGTATATATATGATACATATGGTATCTGTGACTGCCTCCACCCGCTCTATTGGAATTCATTAATCGCCCGAACATTCGACGCTGTACTCGTGCAGTATAACCTCGGCTAACGACAGCGTCGTTACATAAGCCATATATCAATGAAATGAATCAATTAAAATACGATTAAAATACTGCGATGTGGAAAGCAAATGGAAAAACTACCACATTATCACTTTTCTTGGATAGTCTCTTTCCAAAAACAGAAGATCGCATTAAGTGGAGGAACTGTTTTGGAAGAGACCTGTCGTCTGACAGATTACTGATGAATGATGAATGAACACATTTATTCGTTGCTGTAATATGCATTAATGAGCTCCAGTGGTAGACCTCCTGTTCTAAAATTGTTGATGAGAAAGAGATAATTACGTACTGTTTCTAATACCGGTATTTATTGTTCAAGTAACAAAGTTGGTAGAGTTTACCTAGTATAATACATTTTCGAAAATTTTACCGTCAACAGCAATGAACTTTGCAACTCGTGTGAGGACATGGCGTGTTGCTCGTCTGCACATGTACAGTGTGCTGTACAGTGAAATAGCTCTATCTCGGAAACCGTTCGGAATAGGACACATGTACATACACAATTTTCTGCTTAGAATAATTGATACTGTGACCTCACAGAATATTGACCTTTCATCCTGGGACATCCTATATATATGCATATGTACGTAGTATATTATATATATATAATATACTACGTACATATGCATCATTCCTAACACCCCAAGACCCCAAGCCCAAGCACAGGCTAAACCAATATTTTCTGGCTTAAGTTTTAACATAAATGAAAACATATTCGTTAGAAGGTTTCTGTGTCTCTGAACCGTTCTGAGTATCATATTTCCTTACATTCTGTTTTAATATTTTCGTCCGAACCGGCACTACCGGATCGTCTGAGAAGTAGTGGGTCTGGAACAGGGTCCACTCAGCCTCGTGAGGCTAATTGAGGTGCTACTTGAATGGAAAAATAGCGGCTCCTGTCTAGGAAACCGAAATTAACGGCCGCGGGGATTCGTTCCGCTGACCACGCGACACCCTCTATCCGCTAAAGTTGGCACTAACTTCGCCGACAAGCAGCGGTCGGTATAATCGCTTGCGGACTAAAGCCGCGGAGTTTGTTTGTTTGTTTTTGTCCCATCAATTCTTAAGTTTCAAAAAGTGGTCACTTACTTTCAGGTTCGACATAAACTGTGTGGATTCCTCCTCTCCTGATGTCCGACCTCCTAGAACTGATTTCATTGCTGTTTTCTGGTCTGCAACCTCATGCCCATTCCTGCTCTGCAGGTTGCTCACCGTGCAGGCTCAAAGTAACTTGCCTTGTCATGCCGTCGAGAGCTACGTCCGGGACGGACTTGACTCGGGGTTTCCGTACCTTTTCTCATTCCTCCCAGGCTGAACTAATGCCTTGAAATAGGCCACGATTACGAACTTTCACGTCGTTTGCAATTCATTCTCTTGTCAAATTCAAAGCTACATAACTTTTCACGTGATTCATCAACGTTAAATGGCCTACAAACAAACCAGTCTGTTGAAGAGTGCTTTATTCTAGGACGTCACACCAGGTAGCCTGATAAACGGGTCTGTGTTCGTGTCTGTGCCTCATGATAACAACTGGATATATCGTTGGAACGAATAGCTCCATACGTTTCCTGAAATGAGGTTTATGAACAGTTGTAAAGCTACTTAAAGATAATCCGTTTCCGGTAGTAAATTAGTCGCGCAGTTTTCTTGAAGAAGCAGTAGTGCAAATTATGATATTTACCGCCACACTGGCTCACTGCTAGTTAAAAGTAATGCAGTTTAAACAGGGAAAACCACTTTGGGTGTTGCAGTTCTAATTGTTAACGCTCCACACCAAGGATGATGAAATTGGTGGGGAATGTAATACGATAGTATGTGCAAACAAAATTTCAACCTAAAAACTTGAAGGAAAGACGCAACTTAGGACATCAAGACGTAGATGGAAGGATAATAATAAAATATATCTAACAAAAATCATTTGATTACCGGGTTCGGCAAGCTCACGATACATGTTAGTGAGGTGGTCGTGTGAACACGGTAATGAACCTTCAGTTTTCATAAAACCGGGGAATTTCTTAAAG